CCGAATCACTGTTTGTTCAAAAGATGGATCCCTTTTGATTAATATAAAATGTCCAAGAAGGAATAAAAAGACTTTCTTATGCATTCTTTGGTAAGAGCATGCGCTACGTACGAAACATTTCTAAAACGAGGCAAGCTATTAACAATTAAGTTGATTAAACAAGAATATGGACAGTATCGTTTAAAGTCAACATTTCGCAAAATTCTTTGGTCAAAATAATGACCTTTCCAGCAAATACAAGCTATCATTAAGTCGAATGTTGACTGACATTTTTCATACTTATTGTTAGGCCATTTTATTTTCACACTGAATTGTCTACGGATTTTTCCATTTGCCTGATCTCGATTAGGAGGGGTGTGACCGATCGACAGGGGATGCTTACTCCTCGGTGGCACCTGATCCCACCGTGTTTGCTCCAAATTTTATTGTTGCAATGGACTTTTGAGTTTGATTACTGTTCGTTATCTTTATATTTCTCCTTAAGAATTTTCTTGGGTATACACCTGTGATATGGACATATGTTCGTAGCTAGCAACCTTTTGATCCCATTCACCCTCGAAATGAAAAGTTGCCTGAATGCACTATGATGCATTGAGGTAAGCACTCCTGTCTGTTTTAGTATTCCACCAGAGTTGGAGTGTTTCAGCATTGTTTTAATTTTAAGATAGGGTTATTCAGGTGGAACACCACACATCTAAATCAAGACTATCTCTGCACGACATCAGTAACTTCCTTAAAAAATACAAATACAAATTACGCTGTATTAAAGATGGAGGGGAGATAGATCTGATTTGGTCTCATATGTTAGTGATGTATACGATACAAAACAATGATGCGTCGAATGGAGTCAGTTTATTGGAAGTATAATCAATTAACCGAATAGTGGTTGAATCAGCTGATTACCAGTGACATTTATTGACAATATTATGGTTATATGCCTTGCATTTTCACAGCAGCATAATTGAATAAAATACCTGGGTGGACTTCATTGTTTCGGACTGCTTTTTTATTGTTTCTCCACATAATGGATTAATATTTCGATGTTACTTTTATAGCAGTCCTAAACAATATATTTCATTAGAAATCTCAAGCATCTCGTGCTTTTAATAATATTTTTACCGCTAAGTGGCCGACTTTGAGTTGTTTTGTCTTCAGTGGATGCACTATGTTAAGATACAAAGAGTGATAAGTATTGTTATTTAAAATTCCATCTACTCGTAGTACACTCTTCAAACACTGTCACCGTTCACGGTAGCTCAGTCGGTAGAGCGCTCGCTCCGTGATCGGGAGGTCGTGAGTTCGAATCTCGGCCGCGACAGACCCAAGTCGATAAAATGGGTAGCAACTGTTCCTTCGCCATGCGCTCGGCACTTTGAAGTGAAAGTTGCGGGTCCTTCGGATGAGACCTTAAAAACCGAGGCCCCGTGTCACGGCAGGCGTTGGCACGATAAAGATCCCTCACTGCTCAATGGCCCTGAGTGCCGAGTAAAGGTCAAAATTTGAAGCCCTTCACCGGTATATGGTGACGTCTCTATATGAGTGAAAAATTCTCGAATGGGACGTAAAACAATACACAATCAATCAATCAAACACTGTCGAATCTATAAAGAACAGGAACAACATATAAGCAAAAAATGAAGGAAAAGGTTCAAATCAGTTCACTTCTTTAGGTTTGATCGACTATAGACGTTAATGGCCAATTAATATGCTATATGACAAACGTGATGACCAACATTTCCCATCAATTTACCATATTAATATAGTACATGTAATATTCCACTATCACCTACATATGACGTTCATGTTTCCCAAATTCAAGAGCATGCTTTGAGTATACGATCAATTCTTTAACCGAGGCAGGCTTCTGACAAATAAATTCATGATACAAGGCTTTTAAAATTCTCATTTGAATTCGGCATTTCGCAAATTCTATGGTCGTTAAAATGACGTTGTTTGCAAATACAATCTACTTCGAGTCGTATTTTGACTGACGTTTGATAACAATTGTTTGGCCATTTTTATACAAATTTTCACTTCTATCAGATTATTTGATCAATACAGAGGGCTCACGGCAGGTACGACCAGTCGACATAGGATGCATAATTATCATTAGGCACCTGATCCCACATCTGGTATTTCTAAGGTCTGTGTTTCGTCCTGTTAACGTTTTGTATCGTTTAAAGGATTTATGAAATTGATCACAGTTCATATATTTCAATGATTACAGTCTATGAGCAAAAATAACTTTCATCAATCTGTCATCTGATTATCTTATTTGTAACATTTTTTTCTCATCTGAAATTTCCACAGCTGTGTACAAACTGACCAAATAGAAATCTTCATAATGTCTAAAGGCCTTTAAGTAGCATTTTCATAGGAACAAAATCTCCATATTGTGGCTCCAAACTAAACAAAGAGTGAATTAAGATTTCTTATAAAGCACGTACACTATATAAATGCAAAAACTTTCAAACCCTTCTTGTTTAGCATCCAGAGTCTACATGAGAAAGTTGTATATTTTGTGTGAAATTGCTAGCTTGTTGTTCCTTACAAAATACATACATACATGTAGGTACTTTATTCAGTACCTATTCAAAGACTTTGGGGAAAGGGGTCTTTTTACACTCTAAATTTCTTTACTTATTTATCCCCTCATGGTTGCTCTTATCCTCTCAGAACAAATTTCAATTTACCCTGCATGGGGATGCTTGTAATTTGACAAGTCTAACATTTCTATTCCAAAAAAATCTGGCCCTAAGTCTCAACTTGCATACCCAAAATACACACCTGAGGATGGTTGCAGTGAGTGTGACCAGGCTTTCTCCTCCATGGCACCTGATCACATGCAACTCTGATATTTTAGAGGTCTGTGTTTGCTCTGCTCCCCATTTGTATTGTTTCAATGGACTTTTGAGCTTGATTATTGTTTGTTATCTCCATATTTCATTGTATATTGAAAAATACAATTTTATGTTGCTTTTCTGCATCAGATCTTAATGAGTATAATATATATCTTAAAATTGCATTCTGATTCAACACTGTAACTCTTATGCAGAACAAATCCAAGCAGTATCTGAACTCTAAATTTGATATTTACAGATATTGCTGATTGTGATATACTGTTTACCTCAATATGACTGGAAATTCTTATTAAATTGAATGCAAGATTAGTTAATATTTTCTTTCTTTTCTTTAAGTACATTGTAGTTTCTTTGCATTCTCAAAGAATATAAACATAGGTAATCAGAGATTACAGAGCTCACCTCAATGAATGTTGTCTTTAAGTAAGGCAAAGTCCCACACTAAACTAATAATCTAGGAGTGTGCATCCCTAGATGCAACATTTATGCAATTTTGGTCTGATAGGGCTTGCAGTTACTTGGGAATAGACTTATCTGAAAACTTAAAACTAGTCACTCATCCAGAAAATGTAAGTCAAATCCAGCATCCAAAGCAAGTTTTGAGATTGTTCGTCCCTTGATGCATCATCCATGCAAGTTTGGTTCAGATAGGCCTTCTAGTTACTTGGAAATGAGATCTGCTCCAAAAACTTTAATCTGGTTACTCATCTGGAAAATGTACGTCAGATCCAGCATCCGAAGCAAGTCCAGTAGTGTGAATCCTTAGATGTATCATCCATGCAAGTTTGGTCAATATAGGGTTTAAAGTTACTTGGAAATGAGATCTGCTCCAAAAACTTTAATCTGGTTATTCATCCAGAAAATATAAGTCAGATCCAGCATCTGAAGCAAGTTCAGTAGTGTGAATCCTTAGATGTATCATCCACGCAAGTTTGGTCAATATAGGGTTTATAGATACTTGGAAATGAGATCTGCTCCAAAAACTTTAATCTGGTCACTCATCCAGAAAATATAGGTCAGATCCAGCATCCGAAGCAAGTCCAGTACTGTGCATCCTGAGATGTATCATCCATGCAAGTTTGGTCAATATAGGGTTTAAAGTTACTTGGAAATGAGATCTGCTCCAAAAACTTTAACCTGGTCACTCATCTGGAAAATATAGGTCAGATCCAGCATCCGAAGCAAGTCCAGTAGTGTGCATCCTTAGATGTATCATCCATGCAAGTTTAGTCAATATAGGGCTTATAGTTACTTGGAAATGAGATCTGCTCCAAAAACTTTAACCTGGTCACTCATCTGGAAAATATAGGTCAGATCCAGTATCCGAAGCAATTCCAGTAGTGTGCATCCTTAGATGTATCATCCATGCAAGTTTAGTCAATATAGGGTTTATAGTTACTTGGAAATGAGATCTGCTCCAAAAACTTTAACCTGGTTACTCATCCAGAAAATATAGGTCAGATCCAGCATCCGAAGCAAGTCCAGTAGTGTACATCCTTAGATGTATCATCCATGCAAGTTTGGTCAATATAGGGTTTATAGATACTTGGAAATGACATGTGCTCCAAAAACTTTAACCTGGTCACTCATCTGGAAAATATAGGTCAGATTCAGCATCCGAAACAAGTCCAGTAGTGTGCATCCTTAAATGTATCATCCATGCAAGTTTGGTCAATATAGGGCTTATAGTTACTTGGAAATGAGATCTACTCCAAAAATCTTAACCTAGTCACTCATCTGGAAAATGTAGGTCAGATCCAGCATCCGAAGCAAGGGCTTATAGTTACTTGGAAATGAGACCTGCTTCAAAAACTTTAACCTGCTCCAAAAACTTTAACCTGCTCCAAAAACATTAACCTGGTCATTCTTTAGCTGATCTTGCAGCATCTGAAACCTGGTTCAGTGGTTCAAGAGAAGCTAAAAATGTTCAAAAGTTTACGACCGACGCACGTCGCACGACGGACGATGACGGACGAAAACAGATAGCAATAGGTCACCTGAGTGACTCAGGTGACCTAAAAATACAGATCTATTTATTTTCAAAATGAAAAGTTTATGCAGTATTTACAGATGAATTTTATGAGAATTTTTTTTAGTGCAACTGGCCTGTTTATTAGAATTCTGTAATTAACAACTGAAAAAAGAAATAATTATTTATTATACAAAATAGATGTATGAATAAATAAATCAGTAAGTGTTCAATAAGTGTTGTGTACACTAACACATATTTACAAACCCAATTCAATACACATACATGTAAAGACAATTACACATTCAGCATCCATTGTTCATTAAAACTTCCTAAAATTTAAATCTACAAACCAAGTCTGTTTTTTTCTACTTCCAAGCATTCTCTCTATTAATTAATTCCACACTTAAGTCAGAGTGATTCCCATTTTATTAATACCTAGATGCTTTCATCTTTCTATTAGTTTTGTAAATCAATATCATGGAGTTCAGAGTGTAGTACTTCAGAGGTGTTTAGGGTCTCACAGTAGTTGTTAGGGTATGACAGTGATCTTCAGGGTATTACAGTGGTATTCAGGGCACTACAGTGGTGGCCCGCCGCAGAGCCAGACACCCTGAGACTACATCACCTGTCATCATTCTAATCCGAGAAAATTCTTCCGCTGTTGCATACCTCAGTTTTGTCTCTGGATCTGTATAGTAAGCCTAAATAAAAATAATATTTTTAAAACTAGAAATATGCCCATAGGACATGAATGCCCCACTGAGGGTATATTAGTAATGCAACATGAAAATTTGTATCAATTTATGAAATTTGATGAGAATATCTTGAATAGTTTCTTTAAAATTGAAATTGAAATCTAAAAAGTTGGATATAGATGATAAATTCTTACCAAATTATGTATAAGTGCATAAGCTTACATAAATATATCTTAAACTTAATGGTTTCTTTAAAATTAAGCAAAATGCAGATTTTAGAAAAGTGAGGTCAAGGTCACAGGAAAGTACAAGGTCAACCGTTTTTGATGCAGTTGAATAGTTCTCACAAATACGTATCAGCATATTAAGTTTGATAAAATATTTTGAATGGTTTATTTAAACTGCGCTAAACACTACATTACAATAAATGAAGTTAAGGTCAAAGGAAAGGTCAAGGTCAAAAAATGTTGATGCAATTGAAAAGGTTACATCAGTATGTATTAGCATATGAAATTTGACACTAATTTTAGAAAAGTGAAGTCAAGGTCAAAGGAAAGGTCAAGGTCCAAAAATATTGATGCAGTTGAATAGATTACACCAGTATGTATCAGCAAATGAAGTTTGACACTCATTCAAGAAAAGTGAGGTCAAGGTCAAAGGAAAGGTCAAGGTCAAAAAAATGTTGATGCAGTTGAATAGCTTTCATCAGTATGTATCAGCATATGAAGTTTGATTACACTAAATTGAATGTTTCTTTAAAACTGAGCTAAACACTAATTTAAGAAAGTCAAAGGAAAGGTCAAAGTCAAAAAATGTTGATACAGTTGCATAGCTCTCATCAATATCTATCAGCATATAAGTTTGATAAAAATATCTTGGATAGTTTCTTTGAAACTGGGCTTTGAACAGAGCTAAACGCAAAGCATGACAGAAAGACAGACGGAAGGATGGAAGGACAGAAGGTGGACATGACAAACACTATATGCCCCGGCCATATTCATGGCGGGGCATAAAAAATCTTAGTTAAACTAATAGAGGTTTGTAACGTAACAAAATTATGTCTAGTATAAACTTTTGATCTTTAAAGAAGCGGTTATAAACACCTTGTAGAAAATATACACAGAATACACTGGAATAGATGGTTATTATATAATAAGTGGTGCCTTCCGAATCTTTCCTCTTTACCATCCAGGCAATATTTTCAAGGCATCATTTTTATAAAGTTGCACAAAGCAATTCAAGGAGAGTTTTTAATGGAAAAAAAGATAATTTATCAGGGTAAATTCCTCTGGGACAAAGCAGCAAGAATTACTGAAGTGCCACTTACTGGAAGTCCAGATATGTCAGAATATTTTTTCGCAGGTTTAAAGGAAGGTGGAGCATCAATAGAGCCATCTATACAAAATAAATGAAGTGCATCAAAATAATGTATTCCACTTATTTGTGTGGTACGACATACTTTATTGAACGTGATAAATGTAAAGAACAAGGTACGATTTCAATACAAATCTTGCCCTGTGTTTTTCTTAAAAATGAAAGTGATGTAAAAAATTAAAACTCTGCTTTCTGAATCATTGAAATTCCATGCAGAAAGATCGTACAAATCATTTTTCTCACATAGCCTTCTAAATGCTAATTGTGACGTCATAAACTTGTGCATTTTCCTGTATTTTCTCAAAAAGTTGCAGAAGACATCAATTTTCAATGGAATTTTCTTTCAGATAATATTGTCCACAGGCATCACCCACAAAGATTTTGAGATAAGTGATTTTTCAAAGAATTTTACACAACATATCCAAAAATTCAAGTGTTCAAGTGGGCGACAGCTGTGGACACTATTTTCTTAAGGAAAATAACCCTTGAAATGGGTCATTTTGAGACTTTTTCTGTTTAAAATAGAGAAATGCATCAAATTAATGACGTCATACTTCCATGATGGTACTCCTTCATGCCATATTCTTTCCTGATTTATCACAGTCATATACTCAACTAATACTTAAGCCAGTTTCAAAACCTTTTGAAAACATATAATTTTTAGGGCACAATAAAGCTAAAACCGTACCTTCTTCTTTAAGCATTAAGTTTGCATGTTTAAATTTTTAACATTTGAATTTACATGACAAATGTAAATTTAAACCCCCATATGATTTTGTCTTACATGTTACATCATCAGGTTTCCACGGTAACAATTTCTCTGCTGTGACAATTTGTTTCAAGTTCTTCCACACTCTCGATTTCTTACTTCCTGCATTTCCTTTGGTTGAATGCTATAAAATTAAATCACACTGATATTGTAAAACAGGATCACAAAAATAAATAGCTCCATCCAGTTTTTATTTCATTTTCTGGTCTCAGTTGACTTGTGTGTGGTTGGAAGATCATCAGGGGCATAGCTAGAACTTTGATGAAGTATAGGCACAAATTACCCTGTGTGCCGTGATGGGTCTGGGGGCCACCTAAGACCCCCAGCGGGTCCAGGGCAGTGCCCTGGTAGGGGGTTCAGGGGGGCAAAGTCCCCCGACAGAAAATGGATTTCACGATTTTAAGACCTCTGGGTGACAAATTCTGGGAATTTAAAATATAAAATTCTGGGTCTCTTTAAAAGGAAATTTTATATTAAGAAGAAAAGCTAAGAAAGTGCAGTCCAACTTTTTAACCAAAAATCTTTTGTTAGAAGAGTTTTCATATTTTTTCAGCGTAATCAAATTTAGAACATGAAGAAGAAAGTTAAGTCGCCCGCATGGCGCAGTGGTTAGAGTCATGGAGTAAGGAGTTGATCCTTACGTCCTGGGTTCAAATCCCACTGTGGGACGTGGAGACCAGTCCTTCTGATGAGACCATATAAACTGAGGTCCCGTGTCACAGTACCGGTAGGTGCTGTTATGAAAAAGATCCTCAATGGCCCTGAGTGCCGAGTACAGGTCAAAATTTGCAGCTCTCCACCTGCAAGTGGTGGCATCTCCATACAAGTGAAAAATTCTCCAGAGGGATGTTAAACAACAAATGAACATATTTAAAATGTATTAAAAAATAATGAGACACAAAGCAATGTTTTACAATAAATAATGAACAAATATATTTTTTTTTCAGAAAAAAGCTAGTCTACCCACAAAGAAGTGGTAAATTTGGTTGGACAGCCATAAAAAGAGGTAACTGCTGTTAAATCAAATTAATTAAAATGAAACTTAATACCACACATATCTTGTGAGTGTCAGGTTTTTTTTATATCTATATTTAATTACATGTACTTGCATATAGAAATTTCCAAGACATTTTATAAGAAGTCCTACAGTGAAACAGTCGGTTAACTATTGCAGGTTAAATTTACTTTGCACAGATCGATGGATATTTATACATTCATGATCTCTCTAGCAATGGAGAAAATGATATTTAGTCATTTATTTTCTTTCTTATTTTACAGTTTTGTTTCTAATTTTTTTCCTGAAAAAAATTAAGTGTAGGCACGTGCCTTAAGTGCCTAATGGCAGCTATTCCACTGATCATGTTTTCATTATAAGCAGTTGAACCGAGGTAAACAGAGTGAAAAACTCTCTAAGCATTTCTTCTGAAGTAATGATCTGTATAATCATGAATACTTCTAATATTATGACATTGAAATATAGTTGTTTAACATGTATATCATTGTCCCTGAAGATAGCTATGGATAAAGACATCAAATGAATGCAGACAATTTTCACTTTTTTTCAGAATAACTCAAACACGAGTCCCAAGGGCCTTGAATTGCTCTTCTGATAAACTGTACAACCTATCGCTTCTATTTGAAGCTTCTAAGTATCCTGTATATTTAGATAAAGCCTTGAAATTCCAAAGGTAGGTCATCATGACCTACATTTTAGATGAAACATTCTGAGAACCTAAGATGATTCTAAGCCAATTAGTACCTGAGAGTAGGTCATTGTGACCTACTTATCACATGTTATTCTCTAAGGACCCAAGATGCATCAACTAAGTTTGATGATTCTAAGCCAAATAATACCTAAAATATTTTTAAAAATTATAACAATAAAATTTCAAAAGTAGATCACAGTGACCTTTTTTCAGATGACATACTTTGAGGACCCAAGATGCATCAACTGACAAAGTTTGATGATTCTATGCCACTTAGTACCTGATATATTTAAATAAAGTCATAAAATTTCAAAAATAGGTCACAGTGACCTCCTTTTCAGTCGACTAAGTCTGCGGACCCAAGATGCATCAACTGACAAAGTTTGGTGATTCTAAGCCAATTAGTACCTAAAAATATTTAAATAAAGCAATAAAATTTCAAAAGTAGGTCATGGTGACCTACATTTCAGTCAACTTACTCCGAGGATCCAAGATGCATCAACTGACAAAGTTTGATGATTCTAAGCCAAATAGTACCCAAAAATATAAAATAGACATAAAATTTCAAAAGTAGGTCAAGGTGACCTACTTTTCAGTTGTCATACTCCGAGGACCCAAGATACATCAACTGTCAAAATTTGATGATTCTAAGTCAATTAGTACCTGAAATATTTAATTAAAGCCATAAATTTTCAAAAGTAGGTCACGGTGACCTACTTTTCAGTCGACCTACTCTGAAGACCCAAGATGCATCAACTGAGCAGACAAAGTTTGATGATTCTAAGTTAATTAGTACCCGAAATATTTAATTATAGTCATATAAATTAAAAAGTAGGTCATGGTATCTACTTTTCATTCAACCTACTCTGAGGACCCAAGATACATCAACTAACAAATTTTGATGATTCTAAGCCAAATATTACCCGAAAAATATTAAATACAGCCATAAGATTTCAAAAGTAGGTCAAGGTGACCTACTTTTCAGTTGTCGTACTTCAAGGACCCAAGATGCATCAACTGACAAAGTTTGATGATTCTAAGCCAATTAGTACCCAAAATATTTAATTATAGTCATATAAATTGAAAAGTAGGTCACGGTGAGCTACTTTTCAGTCGACCTACTCTGAGGACCCAAGATACATCAACTGACAAATTTTGATGATTCTAAGCCAAATAGTACCCTTAATATTTAAATATAGCCATAAAATTTCAAAAGTAGGTCACGGTGACCAACTTTTCAGTTGACGTTTTTTGAGGACCCAAGATGTATCAACTGAAAAGTTTTATGATCATAGGCCTTAAAATGTCCAAATTATGCTTCTAAGACGCTTTGAAATCGAATGCCTGCAAAGTTCAAAAAGTAGGTCACTGTGATCTACTTTTCAATAAATATGTTTTGAGGCCCCAAGATGCATCTACTTACAAGATTTAATGATTCTAAACCTCTCAGTATTCAAATTAATGACCTTTGACCTTTATTGTTTTGAAAAAGATCAGCCATAAAATTCAAAATATAGGTCAAGGTGAAGTACTCCGAGGACCCAAGATGCATCAACTGACAAAGTTTGAGGATCATAGGCCTTAAATTGTTCAAAATATGCCTCTAAATCATTTTGAAAAAGAATGGCGGCAAAATTTAAAGAATAGGTCACCGTGACCTACTTTTGAGTCAGCATGATATGAGGTCCTTAGATGCATCAACTGACAAGATTTGATGATCCTAGTCCTTATAGTGAGCAAAATATGAACATTTTAATAAAATGTAATTTTTGGTCAACTTTGAAGTGACTTTGAGACCACACCCTTTGCCCCAGGGTGATGCCTTGAACATTTTTAATCTACAACATATCCTCACCCTTTTGTATAAGTTTGCTGATTATCTGTCCAGTGGTTCTTGAGAAGAAGATTTTTTAGCAACCAGTACTTTGTTTCTATTTTCCTAATTATCTCCCTTTGTTTAAGGGTCACAACCCTAGTTTTAGTATAAACAAAAGCCCTTGGGCCTAGGATACCCTGTGACAAATTTGACAATAATTGGCCAAGGGGTTCTTGAGTTATGGCCCATATTCTAAACAGTTTACGCACACCGTACAAATGGCCATAGCATTAGCTCTTTGAGCCTTTGGCTCAGAAAAGCTAAAAATGAAAGTGTAGATGTACCGATAATGGAAAAAGTAAGAAGGCAATTTAACTTCAATTTACTGTTCAAGTGAAAAAAAGTAGCAGATGCCAGATGGAGCTGCTGAGCAGTTACTTGGTTCAGTGCATTGGTCAAATTGGCATCAATTCTAATATTTGGCATATACAATTACCTTTATTTGTTATCATGTGTATAATATGAACTTACGACAAATGTGGGATCTTTGAAGATGGGTATCTTGTCCTGGGTCTCTGTGGAAAATCTCTCTTGACTATCAACGATCACTTCCTCTGTCTCAACAGCAACAACGACGGTTTCCACCTTCACCTCTGCCTTCACAATGCTTTGTGTCTCTGGAGTCTTCTGTAATTTAACATGCACTTTAAATTGTTATGTCTCCTTATAAGATTGCAATTGTCTATATGATGTTAAACCCTTTTTCCATTCTGTATCCAAAGCATTTATAATAATGAAATGGCTCTATATTGTAAAAGTGTATCACAATCAGGGTTCTCCACATTTCAAAATTTAACCATGGAGGAAGCTGCGCGAAGGCGAGATGTGACCGAAAACACAGATGCGTGTTAGACTTCCTAACCTTCATTAATCAATGATTTATTTCATGAAACTTAACCACCGCAACACAAAAAGTTGAAATAACCAATAATTTTTTAAGCTAAAAAAAATATAAAAAGATTATTTATCTTACTTTACAAATGAACCAAAATTGGCCCAAAACTGTAAGAACATTTTGAACGAATTTCAAAACAATATTTTGATAGAGTAACCATGGCAACATTATTCAAAAACTAATATATACAGAATTGATGTTGCCTGTTGTATGAAACGTTTTATTAAATATGACTAAAACTGATGAATGGGTAGTAATTTGAAAAAAAGTTAACAGACACACAAACGAACAAACGAATGAACACCGACATCCTATCAAAGCCTAAGCTTTTTTAACGGCATGGTCTATAAAAACTTACTGATGGCATACATGGTAAAAGTAACTTAATATAACCAGGGGCATAAATTTGACATAACTGCTTCCTCTGTTCTGCTTTTTTTTTTCTAAACGTTCTTTTTTCTGCATATTGCATATTTTGGATCTGCTTCGTTTGCAACATAGCATATTGCAACTAGTATACCACGTACATGTGACATATTCTGTCAGTCACACCTTCACCACTTCAGAATGAAAGCTAGAAAGTCTCTGGTTTTATCATTCACTATAAGACATGATCAGACTAACTATAAGTCAATGTATCCTTTGTAAAGTCTTAAAATGTATTGAGAAATCTTTTGAGGAATAAATGAGTGGTTTGCAATAAAGAGGCCCAACAAAAGATGTCTAAAACGATTCATTAGAAAAGAAAAAAATTATCTCAAAGCAAACTATGTCTTAATTATTAGAGTAGGTTAATGACTGATAAATTTATAAAATACAAGGTTGTAGTGGGGGGTGTCTGAAATTGTGTTAGGTACCTGAGGTACCTAATTGTGGAAAGAAAAAGTAGGGGGTGTCTTATTTATTATCGACTTTTTTTTATAGCGAGCGCAGCGAGCGCGAAGCGCTGCTCGTCACTGTGAGCTCTTAAAGCAACGCCTGGGCGAAGAGAAAATTTGGACTTTGCACATTGATCCAAACGGATTTTTTTCCACAGTTACCTGTGGTCCCATAATACTATACGAATTGCATCTCGCCGCAAACAACGTTCTCGCGGTAACAAGAAGTTCCAAGAAAAAAATAAACACACCTTGATTTGATGGATGTATAGCAGATAAATAGTAGATTAAACCTTCATCAAAATTAGCACTGTTCAGACTTCGTTTTGGTAATGCAACTTACAAGCCACGTCATGTGACGTCAGAGTCTAGACGTATTAAATGTCATGTGCGATTTGAAGAGCCCGATCTAAATAAAATTGAATATAGGTATCTGTGCTCGCCCTAACGGTCGCACCGTCAACATATCATAAAACAGTCAGTTACAGAATACCATATGGAATCACCGATAATGAAATTTTTACAAACTCCCATTATAAGTAATGGTGGGCCCAGTGAGTTCAACAAGTTCTGTAGACTTAAGCACAAGAATTGAGGAAATTTGAACTGAAATCTGAATATTCGTCAAGCAAATTTTTAATGTGTGAATTAAACATTCCGAGATCCAGTTATTGCAGAGACCTTAAAGGCAGAAAAATTTATTTGCATCTTCTCTACTGTGAATGCCTTTCATTAAAAGATTGCACTATTTAGACTATGTTATGGAAGTGCACGCAACTAACTGACTAACATGCGACGCGATACTTGTGTCGCGATTCAATTTTTACAATACGATCATACATTTTAAAAAAGAAACAAATCATAAGATTAAAGAAAATATGTATTTGAATTTCAAAAGGCAAGTAAAAGGTGGTGATACAATAAAGAGCACTACTTGTGCTTCTGTAGATTAAATAGCACTTTGTTCGTGTCAATACTAGCAATGGCAGCCTGCTCTGAAACTTTCCCCTTCGCAATTTTCTCCCTTGTGTGTGTCAAACTATTAAAATGAGGTCGAACCCGATCTATTTCAAGGAGTAACTAAACTTGATTATAAAAAAACGTACCGAACCGAAAATCGAGGTAGTGAATCGAACATTGAACCGAGCAGTAATATTGAACAATATCGATATTTCGGTGAATCGTTTCAGCCTCACATGAGGCTTTAGTCTAGACTGTCTCGTGCGGTTTGAAGTTTGAAGAGGATCAATGTTAAAAGTGTAAGCCATGTAAAGGTTTTTGATGGTATACAACTGCCCACGCCCCAACGTTCGCACCATAGAACATAATATGCATGTAAGCTAGCTACTGAACGTACCCCCCCCCCCATCCATTCATCCCTGTTGTATATGGATAAACATCAAACGCCATACCTTTGTTGCATGTTCATTAGTCACTGAGGACGCTTTTTTCCGCTTTGTTGGAGTTGTTTCAGGGCTGATGTTTCTTGGAGGTTTAATTACTCTTTTACTTCGATTGGCAGCAGCACTCATTTCAACAGGATATCTAGTTTGCACTATAAATTTTTATCCTCGGATGGAATAATTATTTCCGTATTGTACGGTGTATGATCGAATCGCCCCACTAGGCTATCTATTTTCAAATATTATAATATGGTTGACACTATATCAGTCGTTATCTGAATGATCAGTTGTATCTTTGGAATTCTATGAGGCAGATTTACTTTACTTTATTACTTCCTCATATCATTTTTTTATCAGAGAAAGAGAGGGAGAGAAAATAGGTCAAAAATTGTTTAATTATGTTGGAAACATATAGTCCTACCAAAATGCTTCACTTAAAAATTATATGAAATCCAGTCAAAGTGCCCCCTAACAAAACCGTCCCGGTCAAAGTGTCCCCTGATTTTGGAGCAATACATCTTGATTTTACATGAGCTCTCCTAATTACCCCCCCCCCCCTTTCCAGAATGAGTTTTATAGATCACGCTAAAAAAGAATAATATTTACTAGGCTTTTTTATTGTGTTACCTGACCTTTTAAATAATGTATTCTAATCCTTTTCAAAAAAGCACTGAGTTTAATGATAAATAAAATCAACGAAAGAAAGAAATTTTTTTTGTCATTTCACCGATAATTTATGTTACAGTCACTTACAGTATATACTGTACTTTACTTTATATCTTAAGTCTAGAATTAAAGTTACCAATATTATATTCGTTTGTAACTGCAGCAGTTTTTTTCACCTGTTGCTATACCAAAAATTCTATAAACCATTACATAAATAGCCGGGTTTTTTTAGAGTTCTTCGCGACAAGTGTAAGTTTGGAAGCCAGTTGAGGTGTATAGTATACACTCGTATAGAGTTTCAACGTGTGTACCGAGGATCACGGCTACTGAATGTCCCAATATATTTTTCTTCTGAATAGGTGTAAAATATATTAATGAGGGAGTGACTCCATATATATACACGAGAAGATTCTGCAATTCATCGATATCCGGGATTTGATTGACAGGTAGAGCAAGTGGATTACGTGCGTGATGCGTTGAACTGATTCTGTTTTGTTTCGATTTATAAAAACTCGAGGTGAACTATGATTTTAAAAAAAAATTAAGAGAGAACGAGATATGTATATGAGAAGCGAAAAAAAAAAACCGGAAGGCTGAACCTGAAAGTAAAATCTCTCTCTCTCTCTCTCTCTCTCTCTCTCTCTCTCTCTATATCTTAACATTCTGAAATACGGAATTCAGAATCATTTTTAAGCATTATGAAAAAAAGTAAATTGTATATAATTTGAAGGAAAAAAAATTAGAATGCTGCATTGGCAGTTCAAGCGATTTTTTTTACGTTTCGTACCGATCGTAGAAGATTCATATAATAGCTATAGGGGGAAAAATCCCAGGTAGAAATACTGACACTTACATATTCGACAGTAATAAACGTTCAAATATTGAATTTTTACCCGATCCTTACACTTGTCACCTTTTCATAAAAGAAAATTATCATTATATGGCGTCTTCTAGTAGAAGACCACGGACTTCCTTCCTTCTGTACAGATTGATAAAATACTGACTATATTCATATATACGGCATATGAATATCATAATAAACTGACTCGACATTTTTATTTTTTCACCATTCTTATTTACGATTTAGTGATCAGAAAATGTTAAATTAGTTACCTGATATCAAAGTAAAATTATTGATCCGTATAGATCTATGTGTTGCATTAAGTTTAAAGACGATTTACTTGTATTTGGATCTATCGCATACATCAGAAATATAATAATTTGCACAATGGACATTGAATTTTTGTTTTCGTAATTTATTATCATTATTATACTATCTTAAATAATCGGTAATAAAAAATAAATAAGTATTATCCTTTTCAGTTCCATTGTTTCACTATCCATCCTTAAATTAAATCATTATTTTTCAAGTTTCATTATTTCTGTTTGAATTAAATTATTTGGATTGTGAAGCCTTAAGTCTGCTTGTCACAAGTTGTCAGAAATTCAACTTTGGGTTTTTAATCATTTCATTTTTTCTTCAAAATTATGACTCTTATCGAGAAGGCCTCCACGTGGCAAGAGCTGGGCAACGGTATTTTTTTTTTTTTTTTGGAGGGGGGGGGGGTTATTAAATGATACCGGAGAAAATTCTCAAAAATTTCTTGTATGATAAAAATATTTCTGTATTCTATATTAAAATAAAACCTAACAAAAGTCACCTGTTATATGGAAACTTTTCTGAGAGATTATCCAGTATATTATCCTATGAAATAATTGGGTTTAATAAATGGATTTTGAAGTTCAATATTCATCTTTGGGTTTAAATATTTTTTATATTTTTTCTTCAAAATTATTGCTCTTATTATATTATCATTAGTATACAAGTGAAATGGGAGATTTCTAAGCGGAAGCGTTTTGATCGGATCCCCGGGTAGAACAAAACATAGTGTATGTAGCATACTTGATTCTTATAGAATTCGGCCGAGCCGAACCAAGCCGGGTAAACCCCGGTACGCTCTTAGAATCAAGCGAACAGGCTCATATAAAGTAATAGAAATATTGTATTTCTATCGTAAAACATTATTTAGCACAGAAAAGGACTACACTTTTTGCAAATATGTTCATTTCACAAGCGTACCTCGATCAAAAGCTTACGTCTTAAAAAAAAACAACTTTCAACACTACTATCCCAAGGACGCCATGTTGAAGCCGCCCGAACCTATCAAATTTTCCCGCTCAATCGGCTCACCCGGCTTGATGCGTGCGCAATACCGGCTGAGAATCAAGTGTGTCGACGGTCATCGCCGGTTTACCCGGGCGCGCCGGATGGTCAGAATCAAGTATACTAATATAGACAGACAGCTACTGGCAATAGCAAAAGACGCCGTCACTGTAAACCGTCGATATAATGTAGCCTATTTAGTTGAATGATAGTGAGAGTATTGTCCATAACTTACTCATAAATCTTTCAGAAGGTCCTATGTGTGTGCGAGATTGGTTCCTCGACTGTTTATGGAGGAATAAAGGGAAAATCAAGTATGTGCATCAATGAAATCCCCGAATTTAAGTTTAGCAAAGAGGAAACGTGACGCTGCTTTAGACACTTTGACGTTATCATCCATGCGCCGTAAGGCGATACCACACATAACATAAAGTCTCATATTTTGTTTATTTGAGCAGATATCTATCTGAAAGGACTATATTCTGTAGTGGCCAGTATCTGCCCCCAAAATAAAACTTTGATGGAGAAATCTTTAATTATGTTCTAAGCCAGGTGGATATTTGCAGACTTCAAAGCATTAAATATTTTTATCAACTATGACATCATTAGTTAGATATGACGTCAATAAAATGACGTAAATTCCAAATTGCAATGATTTTGAGAGAAAATAGCGTATTTTACGTCGATATTTTGATTGGAAATTATCGAGCGCAGGTCTGCTCAGACTAGATCTTTTGATATAATGTGTAGAATGATAATATCAATGAAATATGTGAATATGGTACCTGAGCAAGCTTGCGCTCTATAAATACTATAGTCAAAATTGAACAAACTCTGTGTATTTTGGCCTCTATTTTAAAAATAACGGAAATCCAAATAGTTTGTGACGTCACAGAGACAAGAAAAGCCAACTATTTTTTCCAATTTCATAATACATTGTCTTAATTTGGATTATTTTAATACAATATATGCACTTTTTCTCATTTCAAGAGATTTTCAAAATTTGACTATTATGGGGGCAGGAATACGCCCTTACCGTATATAGTTCTTTGCTATATATATTGATGAAAAATGTACTAAAAAATAGCGAAAGATTTACAACGCAGTGATGAATATTTTTCAATCTATACAACTTGTCCACGATTTTACCGGACAACCCTCGTAAATTTATTTTTAAAAAATGCACATTGACACAGTATGTCTCTAAAGTAAATGCATGCATGTCTAATTATCATTTATATTTTATAATTATTTCTTATAAATTTAATTGTAATTCTGTGTTGCTTTTATAGATGTGCCAAAATGACTGATCAATGATCCTTGACTTTATAAAGAGGGATCAGCATGATCACTTGCATTGAAGATATGATTACAATGTCATGTAGTACATCATGTGAGGGTGCATCATCCCCCTGTCCACCCATAAGAATTTCTTTAACGCTAAAGATATACCAAAAAAAAATATTGCTTGTTTGTTTGTGTGTTGTTCAACGTTCCCTCTCGAGAATTTTTCACTCCTAAAGAGACACCACCACTTGCCGGTGGAGAGCTGCAAATTTTGACCTATACTCGGCACTGAGGGCCATTGAGCAGTGAGGGATCTTTTTCGTGCCAGCACCTGCTGCGACACGGGACCTCGGTTTATATGGTATATAATTACCGATTAAAATGCACACAATCTCAGCATACCTTTATGTGCAACAGAAATGAACTGTTAATATCTGACATTTTATGAAGGAATTATAGCCATTTACCCCAGTAAGAGTTATCTCTCTTCTCAGAGGGTTAACCAACCTTAAATAGCTACAATTCAAAATATATAATTGCAACTGGGTAATACACAGCTGAGCACTTTTTTCAGGGGAATCTTACTAAAAGCCCATACATTTGCTATATCTGAAACAAATTGCAATGGCCAAGAAGAATAATGAGAGACAATACACTTTTCACTTAATTTTATTGAGTGATATAATTTTTGTAGAAAGAAAATGACTGGAATGCTTTCACATTTAAATAAATGAAATTATTTAATTTGCGAGTACACGCCGATCAATTCATATGAATTTAAGACATACATATACATGTGACACACTGTTAAGTAAAAATTCATTAACTTGAACCACACTGATATGTTCATGCAGACACAACACAAAAGGCCTACAAATTTCCCCCAACTTTTCTTAAGAAAAAAGTCAAAAATGATTGAATTATAATTTCAACACTGTGCATAAGGAAAATGCTTTCAAATTGAATTGACACTGCTTCCCTCTTTTAAATTATATTTTTAGAAGAAAACTATCAAGTTCTTTACAAATTTTAATTTCTACAATCCTGCTCGCTTACTTTCAATTGACTTCATTAATAAATCATGTATGGAAACTTGCAATCAGATTAATAAACACATTTAATTAATTTTATGATTGCTAATATTGAAAAAAAAAAATACTGTAAAATCACTGATTTTCATGGGGACAAAATTTCATGCTCTGCCAAAAAATGCATGTATGTAGGTTCCTGTGGATTTCATTTCGTGGTTGAAGAAATTTACTTAACTGAACATTGCCAATTTTTTTCGTTTCATGGTGGACATGAATTAGTGGGTCTCTCCATACCTTAAAAACAATGAAAATTGAATTTCCGCAAAAATTAACGATTTCACGCTAATTAACATGGGTTTCTAAATACCCTAAGCTAAATGCTCTGCACAAATGTACGAGTTATTCCATAATCACCTTTTTACTAACTAAAATAAAATATATGTAATCATAATTTTTTTTTCTTGAAAAAACCTGTATCAGCAAACAATTCATTACCTTAAGTTTTACTTTATCTATATAGGCCTCAATACTGCAGTGCATATATTTCACATAACTACTACTACATTCACACAATACATTACAAAATTTAATGTTTTCTGAGCATATTATATAAATATGCAACTTTGTATAATAAATAAAAGATAAAAACTTTCTTTATGAAAATCAATTTTGAGAGATGCTTTTGAATTCAAAGATTACACATTTAGCATGTTTAGAAGTATACTTTCATAATTGTAAATAACATAGAAAGAGGCATATACATGTACACAAACACATTTTCAAAATTAAAAAAAAACAATAACACTATCAAAGACACATATTTAATACAAAAGAGTTAACTTCTTATATAAATCTCATACATACTAAACCAAAGTTATAATTTTATTTGCTGCCCCTTCCTGACAAGGGGATCACTTAATTTTGGGTTTATTGTTAGGTAAAATAAAATTTCTATACTGAAAATGTCCATAAATTACATTTTGAAGTACACTCATCAACTGATTAACAAAATCATAAATTACTGTGTTTAAAGCAAAGCTTCTGTAATTTTTTTTTTAAATCCTATTTTAGAATGTACTTAAATTAACTAACAAAATTAAACCAGTGCTAATTAAGATGCAAAATTATGATCATTGCCAAAGTAGAATGTAATTATGTTACGTATTAATAGAAAGTCAGACTGTCTATTAGTTATTTTATGAGTTTTGGGTTCAAAAGTAAAATCATTTTTGTTTAGAAACAGGTGCTGCAATACCATATTCTTATTTGGGTCAATCACAAATTTAACAAAGAAAATTTTAACTTTGGCCATTAAACAGTAATTTCTAAAACATAATAGACAGGTACCCTTTAGCCAGGACAAAATTTATACAATAATCCAACACATGAAAAGAGACAATAAACAAGCATCTGTTTGAAATTAACAGACAGAACAACATTAGAATTTTTGAAATTCTCTCAACATTTTTCCTTAAATTTTCTGTACCACGTACATTTCATCTAGCTATATCAAAATTTTAAGTTTTTTTTATAGCTTTCGACATTCTTCTTAACATTGGCACCAAAAGATAGTAATAAACATATACGAGGGCTGTTCGGAAATTATTGAGACATTGTGTATATTCTTCTTTCTAATGAACGTTTTTCGGTGAAAATTTGCATATACATTTGACAAACTCTAAGAAGTAATAAAAACAAGAAATATTTTAAAAATATTTTATTTCATCGTCTCAGTGGTATATTAATGTGTCAATGGTAGGGGTACCCGGCGCAGTCACGAAATCGGATATTGAAAATATGTAATACCAACATTAAAACTCCCGGTGAACCCATAGTAAGACCGAAAATAATTTAATTTATGTATATAATTTTTCAATTTAACTTTGACTTCATTTTGTGCAAGTTTGTTAGAATTTCGATCAGAAATACGGAGATCATTAAAAAATTTACGCGCAGTATAGCAATCTGATAACAACGACAACACGGATTTTGACGTCAAGGTGGAGCAGCGATCATACCTAAAATTTTGTGTAGCGGTATTGAGAACTCTTGTCCAGACTAAACGACCTGCTAAAACAATAACAATAAAACATGTCTAAGGGTTTGATTTTTTCATTGGTATATATTATTTTCTTACAAATAATTCAACCAGAGTAAAAACAAAAGCTCCGAATGACCATCAATAATTTCGGACTAAATAACGTTGACCCGCGTTGCATCACTCGAAACTGCATGATGCTAAGCCAACCTGTATTTGACATTTTGTGTATATTTTACACTGGGGTAGCAACAGCACACATTTAATTTTTTTAAAGAATCGATTAAGAATTATAAGAGACAGTTTGATTTTTGAAATGTTATATGTAATGACAGAGAAAGTAGATTGAACGCTTCCTGATCATTTCAGAATGAGAATATATCGGCTGACCTGACGTTAAAATGACGTAGCGATGCTGCTCCAGGTCAATAGACATATGCTTTTTTATAATTTCACCGGAATTTATTTAATTATCCTATAAATTACAAATTTTGTACATTTGTTTTATTTGTTCTGTAAAAAACGTTGACGAATTTTTATGAATTTATCTCTTTCCTTTGTGGTCTCAATAATTTTTGAACAGCCCTCGTATATCAATTGAGCCTATATAACCACATTATTTTATGGCAGATCGATCCTTTTCTTTATTATGTTCTGTATAAAGATATTGGCAGTATTTCTCCAGGCTTCTTTGGCCTCCGGCATCCTACAGATTTCTGGTAGAGTATCACAGATGTAGCCCTTGGGGCAGCAGTATGTGCCGCTCTTGCAGCAAACAGCCTACAAAACAGAAATTACATTCACATATCAATTTACTCTTACAGTATTTGGAAAAGAATTTTCAAATGAATGCACCCAATAGAATTATCCAACTTCATCTTTTTTTTTTTTAGATATTTATGACAGCTTTGATGCTAAATAATGTAATATGCATAAAAGAGGATTCAATTAAAAGTAGTATGGTATTTATAACCAATATGAATACATATTAATTGTATTGAAAGTTAGAACACTTCATGCAGCTCAATTTTCACTACAGGCTTTTTCCTCGGAGTAAAAAAGTAATATGAACATTGAAGAACAACAGAAATTTATTCTTAAAAAGGAGAAAGTGGATCTTGCTCACCTAAAAAAATTAAAAAGTATGAAAAAAGAATTTCAAAGTGCTCTTATATTTAAAATCAGGTTGATTAAGAAATTGTTTTATGCTCACATGATTATATGCACAGCACCCAAATTTGCCTTCTTTATTTTTGCAGCATGTATTTTTGTCTGGACAGCTTGTTGTCTGATCAGGACAAACAACACTATTTTCTTTTTTGGTGTTTTTTGTTTCTATATGAGGTCTCTTATGAGCAGGTTGTTTCTCAAACCAGTCCATGACTAAACTGGACCCTCTTTGACACTTTCCTGAGGACACTTCACAAGTAGTCCCAGAAGGGCAGCAGTGTTTACCATCACTACAGCATACAGCCTGAAAATACATTGCAAACATGCTGGAGAATCACTCACCTTAAGTGACAATTCATATAATTCTAATAAACCTTACCCCCTCCCCCCCCCCCCCAACTTTGGAGCTTTCCTGAATAAATGTATCAACATATTTATACATAATTATATATGCTTACACCAATGAATCTTACCTTTGGTAAGGGACAACATCCCCACTGTCCACTAGCAGTTTTACAGCAAGTCTGTCTATCCTTGCACTCATGCTGACCATCAGGACAGACCACATTTTCTGACCTCAGTAGAGCAGTTTGTTTCTCAAACCAGTCCATGACTAAACTTGACCCTCTTTTACATTTTCCTGAGGACACCTCACATTGAGTCCCAGAAGGACAGCAATGTTTACCATCACTACAGCACACAGCCTGAAAAAATACATTTCAAACATTGGAGGGTCAGATGTAAAAAATTTCACTATGTAAGCAAAGACTAGAAAATGAAAACTTACCTTTGGTATTGGACAACATCCCCACTGTCCACTGGACAGTTTACAGCAAGTCTGTCCATCTTTACATTCATGTTGACCATCAGGACAAACCACATTTTCTGACCTCAGTAGAGCAGGTTGTTTCTCAAACCAGTCCGTGACTAAACTTGACCCTCTTTTACATTTTCCTGAGGACACCTCACATTGAGTCCCAGAAGGACAGCAATGTTTACCATCACTACAGCACACAGCCTGAAAAAATACATTTCAAACATTGGAGGGTCAGATGTAAAAAATTTCACTATGTAAGCAAAGACTAGAAAATGAAAACTTACATTTGGTATTGGACAACATCCCCACTGTCCACTGGACAGTTTACAGCAAGTCTGTCCATCTTTACATTCATGTTGACCATCAGGACAAACCACATTTTCAGACCTCAGTAGAGCAGGTTGTTTCTCAAACCAGTCCATGACTAAATTGGACCCTCTTTGACACTTTCCTGAGGACACCTCACATGTAGTCCCAGAGGGACAACAGTGTTTACCATCACTACAGCACACAGCCTGAAACAAGAGACCCAAGGGCCTTGAATCACTCTTCTGAAACATAGGTAATCAAAGATTACGAAGCTCACCTCGACGAATGTTATCTACATGTAAGGCAAATTTCACATCATATTTTTTTTCTAGTTTGGGTACATCCCAAGATCAATATCCATGCAAGTTTGATTTAATTATAGACCTGCTCAAAAAACTTTTGACCTGTTTAGTAATCAAGAAAATTTTGGTCAGTTCCAACATCCAAAGCAAGTCTGGAAGTTTTCATCCTTAGATGCACCATCTATGCAAGTTTAATCATAACAGGCCATAATATTATATAGCTACTCCAAAAAATTACCCTGGTCACTCATCTGGAAAATGTACGTCAGATTCAGAATCCAAGGCAAGTCTGGAAGTGTCCATCCCTAGATACATCATCCATGCTAATTTGGTTAAAATATGGCTAAAATTCACTCATGTGGAAAATCTAGGTCAGTTCCAGCATTCGAAGCAGGTTGGTAAGTGTACATCCCTAGATGCATCATCCATGAAAGTTTGGTCAAGGTAGGGCTTATAGTTACTTGGGAACGAGACTACTCCTAAATCTAAACCTGGTCTCACATGTGGAAAATCTAGGTCAGATCCAGCATCCAAAGCAAGTGTGGTAGTGTCCATCCCAGGATGCATCATCCATGCAAGTTTGATCAGGGTAGGGCTTATAGTTACTTGGGAATGGACCTGCTCCTAAAACTTTAACCTGGTCACTCATCCAGAAAATCTAGGTCAGATCCAGCATCCAAAGCAAGTGTGGTAGTGTCCATCCCTAGATGCATCATCCATGCAAGTTTGGTCCAGGTAGGGCTTATAGTTACTTGGGAATGGGACTTGCTCCTAAAACTTTAACCTGGGACGCCGACGCCGACGGTATAGCATAAGCTCATCTCGACTTCGTCGAGGTGAGCTAAAAATTGTACAACCTATCACTTCTATCTGATGCAATTAGTATCCTGTATGTTAAGATAAAGCCTTGAAATTCCAAAAGTGGGTCATCATGACCTACATTTTAGTTTAAACACCCAAGATGAATCAATTGACAAAGTGTGATGATTCGAAGCCCCTTATTATCTCAAATATTCAGATATATCCATGAGATTATGAGATTCCTAACTTTGGTAAACATATGCATAGACCCAAAAATGCCTCAACTGACAAAGTTTGATCATTTTAAGACTCTTATTATTTGAAATATTTAGATGTTGCCTTGCAATTCAAAAGTACGTCACTGTGACCACTTTTTAGTTGACACATTCTGAGGACCCAAGATGCATCAACTGACAAAGATTGATGATTCTTAGCCAATTAGTATCTGAAACATTTAAATATTGCCATAAAATTTCAAAAGAAGGTCATGGTGACCCACTTTTCAGTTGTCGTTCTTTGAAGACCCAAGATGCATCAACTGACAAAGCTTGATGATTCTTAGCCAATAAGGACCTGAGAAATTTAAATATAGCCATAAAATTTCAAAAGTAGGTCACAGTGACCTACTTTCTGGTTGATGTTCTCCAAGGACCCAAGATGCATCAATTGACAAAGTTTGATGATTCAAATCCAATTTATTCTTGAGTTATATAAATATAGCCAAAAAATTTCAAAAGAAGGTCAGGGTGACCTACGTTTTAGTTGATGTTCTCCCAAGACCCAAGATGCATCAACTGACAAAGCTTGATGATTCTAAGCCAATAAGTACCTGAGATATTTAAATATAGCCATAAAATTTCAGTGACCTATTTTTTGGTTGACATTTTCTAAGTAACTAAGTTACCTCAATTAACAAAGTTTGATGATTCTTTGCAGATTAGGACCTGAAATATTTAAATATAGCCAAAAATTTCAAAAGTAGGTCACAGTGACCTACTTTTTGGTTGACGTTCTCCGAGGACCCAAGATGCATCAATTGACAAAGTTTGATGATTCTTAGCCAAATAGTAAACGAAAATATTTAAATATTGCCATAAAATTTCAAAAGTACGTCAAGGTACATGTTAACCTACTTTTCAGTTGTTGTACTCCAAGGACCCAAGATACATCAATTGACAAAGTTCAATAATTCTAAGCCAATTAGTACCTGGGATATTAAATTAAAGCCATGAAATTTAAAAAATAGGTCAAAGTGCCCTACTTTTTGGTTGATGTTCCCTGAAGACCAAAGATGCATCAACTGACAAAGTTTGATGATTCTAAGCCAATGAGTACCCAAAATATTTAATTGTAGCCACATAAATTGAAAAGTAGGTCACAGTGACCTACATTTTAGTCGACCTACTCTGAGGACCCAAGATACATCAACTGACAAAGTTTGATGATTCTAAGCAAAATAGTACCCAAAATATGTAAATTTAGCCATAAAATTTCAAAAGTAGGTTATGGTGACATACTTTTCAGTTGACATTTTTTGATGCATCAACTTACAAAGTTTTTTAATCATAGAACTTAAAATGTCCAAAATATGCCTCTAAAACACTTTGAAATCGAATGCCTGCAAAGTTCAAAAGTAGGTCATTGTGACCTACTTTGTAATAAATAAGTTTTATGGCCCCAAGATGCATCATCTTACAAGATTTAATGATTCTAAACCTCTCAATATTTGCATTAATAACTTTAAATATTTTGAAAAAGATTAGCCATAAAATTCAAAAAGTAGGTCAAGGTGACCTTCTTTTTAGTTGTACTCCAAGGACCCAAGATGCATCAACTGACAAAGTTTGATGAACATAGGCCTTAAATTGTTCAAAATATGCTCCTAGTCCTTATAGTAAGCAAAATATCAACATTTTAATAAAATGTAATTTTTGGTCAACTTTGAAGTGACCTTGAGACCAAGCCTTTGCCCCAGGGTGATGCCTTGAACAATTTATCCTCATCCTTTTATGTAAGTTTGGTGATAATCTGCCCAGTGGTACTTGAGAAGAAGATTTTTTAGCAACTAGTACTTTTGGTTTTATTTACCTAATTATCTCCCCTTGTTTAAGAGTCACAACCTAGTTTTTGTATAAATGGGAGCCCTTGGGCCAAGGATACCGTGACAAATTTGACAATAATTGGCCAAGGAGTTCTTGATTTATGGCCCATATTCTAAAAAGTTTACGCACACCGCAAAAATAGCCATAGCATTAGCTCTTCGAGCCTTTGGCTCAGAAGAGCTAAAAATACATTTCAAATATTGGAGGGTCAAATATAAAAAAAAATTCACTATGTAAGCAAAGACTAGAAAATGAAAACTTACATTTGGTATTGGACAACATCCCCACTGTCCACTGGACAGTTTACAGCAAGTCTGTCCATCTTTACATTCATGTTGACCATCAGGACAAACCACATTTTCTGACCTCAGTAGAGCAGGTTGTTTCTCAAACCAGTCCATGACTAAACTGGACCCTCTTTGACACTTTCCTGAGGAAACGTCACATGTAGTCCCAGAAGGACAACAGTGTCTACCATCACTACAGCATACAGCCTGAAAAAATATCGAACATGTTGGAAAAGTCACTCCCAAAGGGATAAACATCTACTTTCTGATTCACTTGCGTCTTGGGTAAGTGAATTAACTCGCAATGCCATGCAGCAATAAAAAAAAAAAACCATCGTTTCCCTGAAACTAAAATCCATATTTTTCTTTATTTTCAGTACAACCCTTTGTGAAATCTGATTTTTTTTTCTCCCTGAAAAAAAAACCTTAACAGATGACCGAGAAACTGAATCCTGATCAGGTTACATTGTAGGCCAAAAATAACTGAATGTATATTCCGTGAGTGTATATTTAATAAACTTTTTTATAATATCTATACATATTAATAATAAGAAAATGTAACAAAGATGTGAGAGTAAGATAATAGAGAGGTTTAACAAACCAATGTGTACGCGTACGTGTAGCAGGGGATTCCCCCCAGAAATATGTGCATTACGTCATCTATTTTGCTATTGACGAAATTCACACATATCCACTTACATGCAAATTGCCGAGTACATGTAAGTCCAAACTTGTAGCTTAATATGTTTCCTTATCCGCTGTTGATTTCAATAAGTGTGCGATTTTCTATAACCTGAAGATTTGATGCAAATATTGATATAAAGAACTAAATGTCTATGGATGAAATATACAATTATATAGAATGTTAAATACACAACATCTAGATTTTAAAAACAGACTTTGACGGATTAAAATTATAAGAACTCTTTTCAAATTATTTCTTATAAATATATGCATAAATTCATCAAAAACAGTGATATACATAATAGATTTCATGTGCTCTCTAAAGATTATCAAAGAAAAGTACTTCTATATTTACAGACCCTGAAACGTGCTACTACCCCAAAAAAGCGTGTGACTTTCGTGCGCTTTTCGTTTCGTGCAAACCGTGTAGCGTTTCGTGTAAACCGTGCAGCGTTTCGTGCAAACCGTGTAGCGTTTCGTGTAAACCGTGCAGCGTTTCGTGTAAGCTCCAAAGCGTTTCGTGCAAACCGTGTAGCGAGCGTGCGAGGAGCGTGTGAGAAACGTGCGACTTTCGTGTAAGAACCGTGTGAGAAACGTGCGAGAATCGTGTGAGAAACGTGTAGGATTCATTCGGAAGTCCTTTTATTTTAAATATGGTTACTGATGGATCAACATCTCATTCTGTGGTGTCTGTAACTAATATTATTCGGATATATCATATACCGGTGGTATTTTAAGAGTGAAAAAAAAATACGGAAACAACAAAATAAAATTACTCGGTAATGTATTACATATTTGTTTGAGTTTCTCTCTTTTTTATTTCAATAAAGATGGACAGAAAATGTGTTAAAAGTAATTAATTATATGCACATAAGTTTAAAGGTATTTGATTCAATACATTTTTTAAAGGGGGCAATACAGAACATTTTTTAAAAGAAAATTCATAAGGAATCCGGTCTTGTCCTTTTCATTCATTTATTTGAATCTCCTCACCATTTTACAATTACGGGATGTGGGATTATAAGAAAATATCGGTGATTAATACGAAATAATAGATAGATATGGCAGGCGTGAAAAATAAAACGCAAAATTTAGTGTGTTGATATAAATGTGAAGTATTGGAATTCTAGGCCGGGGAGCACAGTTTACTGAATTTCTTTATAAACGAACATAATTTTCTTATAAGATTGTGATACAAATAATTTGAAACGATGAATCATTTAAAGTCTTTTTATGCATAAAATTGGCTGATTAATAATAGTCATATAAATGAATTATAATTCACGTGCATCGGCAAATACAGGGTTAAATATTTCCGGGGGGGGGGGATCAAATGAAAATACTAACCGAGTTTTTCTTGTCAACAAGTCTTTAATTGATAATTTTCTTTTTTGAAATAATTTAATGTTTTTTTCAGGGTGCACCCGATGCACCCCTTAAAACAATATTGGAATCTTCTTTACACTTTCAACACTCTTCTTAAGACCGTGATCAAGGTCATTTACAACAGCGATCATGGGCTCCGCGTGCCCGGACTGAAACTTGTTCTGCTATTATTTCTTGTCAATCATAGCTAAGATGACACCCGAAAATAACGATTGATTTTTAATTCGTGAAATTAAACAGTTTTATTAGTATTTAATGGGTATAAATAAATACCCGTGAATTTTATTTCTTAAATTTATCCTATTGTCTGTAAACAGTGAATTAGTTTGCCAGTGCATTCGTGAATAAAATAAATCCTGAATAATCACATATTAGTTGTTTTATTAATCACGCAGTTCTAGAGCATATTTTTTAGTTTTTAGGACATTGGACATTTATATATATTGAATATATTGTGAAGAGTCGCGACTATTGATTACACAATTATTGATTTTTTTGTCTAGACGGGGTTGGAAATCAAGGATTTTAAAAGGTGGTGGGTATAATATTGTTTTTATTTGATAAACACAATGCCTCAAAAGAGAACTAAAGAGTCACAATACCTATCCCCCGGCTTCTCTACCATATAATGATTAATTAAAGTTTATCTCTGTAATGAAATGATATATGTACCATTCTGAATAAAGAGCATTTAATGAATTACATGTATCGGGTCCCGCTGGATATAAGGGTATCCTTTTTCCTTAGAACGGGCACTTGTTTCTATAATATATTTTTTTTTTCCGATGGGATACTTACTGAAACAAGTGCCCGTTATATTTAGTCGTGTACAGATTTGAAGATACAACAGTAAGATCTCGGTAACCCCCCCCCCCCCTTTTCTGCACAATGTTCCTGTTAGATGCAGTTAACATATTACCTTTGCAAATTATAAACAGAACTTAATTTAGTCAAATGAATTTTTTCTTTTACTAAATCAAAAAATGTATAAATCAATCAATAATTAAAAAAAAAAGGAAAAGAAAATCAATCCGTTTACAGAAATCATACTTAATTTAATCTTTTTTTTTTCCAAATCAATAGCTAAGTTTAATTGTCAGTAATAAATAACTATTTAATATCAAACTATAATTGGAAAAAACATCAATGCTGTAAAAGATTATGATTTACAAATATATTTTTTTTTTCAGTGCGTAATTTAGAATCTAGTGAAAAAAAGTTTGTACACTGACGATAATAAGTAGTTCACCGGGCGGGTCACATACTCAGTGACAACTATTTATTAATTACAACTGAACATTGAATATTTTATCTGTTAATATACATGTAGTACTGGTGTAGCGAGTTTTAATCTTAACTTAATCTGAATGATTGCAATTCTTAACTAATCTTTGATTAATCCGTAATAATTGAAATAAAGTCCGAAAGATTCCGAATAGAAAATCCAGATCGAGGCCAAAGCGTGCGAGAATCGTGTACAAAGCGTGTGAGAAACGTGTACAAAGCGTTTCGTGCAGGCTTTCGTGTAAACCGTGCAGCCTTTCGTGCAAAGCGTTTCGTGTAAACCGTGTAGCGTTTCGTGCAAACCGTGTAGCGTTTCGTGTAAACCGTGCAGCGTTTCGTGCAAACCGTGTAGCGAGTGTGTACCGTTCGTGCAGCGAGCGTGTGGGGTAGTAGCACGTTTCAGGGTCTGTAAAACACTTACAAGTACACGTTCACATTATACATTGCTTAACATGAAAAATAATGTAAACGTGTACTTGTAATTCTGACTTGTAGTTTACACCTACAAGTACACATACAAGTGAGCTTGCTAACCCTCTGTAATATTTTTTATGATATTTTTGCTAACTCCATGGAAGAAAAAAAAATATAATGGATCCCATTTTTGAATAAAAGGTGTATGATCTAGAATCTCTTCCATTCAAGGGATATGAATGCAAAAACATGTCAGACGCATTCCTGACTGAAATCTATTGTTTTATTAATTAACTAATGTAAAATAAAGATATAAGTTTCTATCAGAAATATTCACTTCCATGATGATACAAGTAAATCTACAGTTTCCCTTGCCCAAACTAAAAATTTACTCATAGTTTGGAGAAACATACATCCTTACACCCCTGAAACTTACATTTGGTATTGGACAACATCCCCACTGTCCACTGGACAGTTTACAGCAAGTCTGTCCATCTTTACATTCATGTTGACCATCAGGACAAACCACATTTTCTGACCTCAGTAGAGCAGGCTGTTTCTCAAACCAGTCCGTGACTAAACTGGACCCTCTTTTACATTTTCCTGAGGACACCTCACATTGAGTCCCAGAAGGACAGCAGTGTTTACCATCACTACAGCATACAGCCTGGTAAACAAATATTATGTGTACATGTATATTCATTTATTTATACAGAGGTTTTTCAAATATGCATCATAGTTATATTTTTAACTGAGTAAAAGGGCCTTTGGCCCTTGATGGTAAGAATAAACAAGAGAGCCTTTTTGGTTTGAGTAACTTAAAACTCTTTAGCTTTAATGATGAGAAGAAAGAAAAGGCTACCTAAAATTGAAATTAAGGCCCATGTGCATCCGTTTTGAGGTAGCCCCATTGCAATTTTTATCATATTTTCAATTAAATCAATATGCATACATTTAGTAATTTTGTGAGATGTTAAATATATCTACAGAATGACTCAAGTATTACTATAAACTTTTAGGAAGAATTTTCATTGTGATTTTAATATAGAAAATTCTTTAATTAAAAAATGCCTCCCGCATCTAATTTATCACCGTTTTTAATAAGAGAAAATGAACAAATTCTTAAAAGGCTACAAATGAAGGATGCATGACTGATGACTAGATAGCAATATAACTTGTGTGAAATGATGCATGACTGATGACTAGATAGCAATATAACTTGTCAATGAGTGAAATGATGCATGTCTGATGACTAGATAGCAATGTAACTTGTGTGACCTAACAACGATAACTTACATTTGGTACTGGACAACATCCCCATTGTCCACTGGCAGTCTTACAGCAGGTCTGTCCATCCTTACATTCATGCTGACCATCGGGACATATCACACTTTCTGCCTTGACCACTGCAGGCAGTTTCTGGAACCAGTCCATCAGTATATTATCTCCTCTCTTACACTTCCCAGAGGACACTTCACAGGTGCTTCCCTCGGGGCAGCAGTGCTTCATGTCAGCACAGCACACTGCCTGTGTAATAAAATCAACAGCCAATGAAAATGCAGGATTTCCATTTATAATAACCTACTGGTTTAAAGAACAAAAAAGTATCATTTTCACATGACAAAATCTTTAATCTTTGTAGAGCTGTATATACATGTACACTAGGGGTGCAACAATACACTAACCTCACGATACGATACGTATCACGGTATTCAGTTCACGATACGATACGTATCACGATACATGACAAGGTTAAAAAATGTTTCAAGTTTCAAGTTTGTCATCATATTTTTTTAAACTTGACAGGGTTATACAAAATGTTCGTATTTTTTAATAATAATTAAAATAACATTTTGTTAACTTGAATTGGATTATTAGGTAGATCTATTCTAAACCAATGACCAACAGGGAACTACGGGGACCTTTCCTAATAAACTCCCTTTTAAAATGGAATGAAAAAGGAAGACATTCATTCTTTTATTCCTTTTATTAACGTAAAAAACCAATTGTCATATTTGTCGTGTTAATACGTTTCAGTCAACAAGACAGCGAATTTTCATCAAAATACACACGTGATGGAATATCGTGTATTACCAAAGAATGCGTTTAGATCTAAAGGGTTTATCATTTGTCTTAACATCTTTAACTTATAATCACATTAAGTCCTTCTCCGTGTTAAATCTGAGGTCTGTAAGATGCTGGAGATAAGTTTAACTGCTGTAAATGCGTTATCGGCGACCTCACGTTTTGCGCGGAAGCCATTTTGAAATAGTAAAGAAGGAAATAAAATGGACAAAACAGATAATTCTGACCGATTGAACCGAACCGCGATATCAGTTTAGCGTATCGTGAATTGAACCGTGGAAAAATATACCGCGACATACCGTCAAACGGTTTATCGTTGCACCCTTAATATACACTGTATATGAAAAAAATATTTTATAATTGTTTATATCAAAGCAAATAAATGGAATCACTTATATATAGTTGAATACATTGTTTATATTTCACATGGTTATTTTCATGAATTAGGTGCATTGTTTATATATGAGTTACGAATAAGTTTAAACCTGCTTCTATTTTATTCCTAACAAGAACTTTTCTTTCACATCAAGACCAACTATTGAAATCACATTAGAGTAAGTGCCATATTTGCCCTCAAAATCAAAATTTGATGGATAGGTCAATAATCCTGCAGACCTAATTAAACAGCAAGAGGGCAATTAACCTACACACAATCTTCACACAATGAAAAGAAAAAATAGTTTTGTACTTTTCTTCCCAGACTTTGGTAAGAGGATTTTTAAATGACCCCCCCCCCCCCCTTAAATTTTCACTCTTATTTAACTGCCTTTGAAAGATATGAATATTTACATGTATCACTTAAGAATGCTTTGTGCCAAGATTGGTTAAAATGGACACAGTGGTTTTGGAAAAGATTTTGTAAATGTGAAATGGCTACAGACAACACACAAGACAGACAGACTGACAACTGATGCTCTTTGATCATAAATACTCTCTTGATCCTCGTCTTAGGTAGGCTAAAAATTATGATAATTAGTGTGAAAATTCCATTTTTCAGACAAACTGACATAATGCAAAATATACTGAAACAAGAGATGTTTGTAAAACACTTATTTATGCCCCCCCCCACCCCCCAATAATTGGAGTTTTTTTCCAAGTCCAAGGGGCATAACTCTGTCAAAAATTGCTCGATCCTACGGTAACCCAAATCAGAGCTTGACCTAGATATTTTTGTGATAAATCTGTATACCAAATTTCATTTCAGTATGTCCATCCTCTGTGAAGAAAATGAACTGAAAGTGCAAATAATTGGAATTTTTCTAAGTCCAATACGCATAACTCTGTCAAAAAATTGTTCAATGGTACCCAAAACGGAACTTGACCTAGATATTCTTATGATAAATCTGAATGCCAAATTTCATTTCAGTACATGTGCAACCTCTGCGAAGAAAATGAATGGAAACTGCAAATAATTGGAATTTTTCTAAGTCCAAGAGGCATAACTCTGTCAGATATTGTTCAATGGTACCCAAAACAGAACTTGACCTAGATATTTTTATGATAAATCTGAATGCCAAATTTCATTTCAGTATGTGCAACCTCTGTGAAGAAAATGAACGGAAACTGTTAAGGGACCAACAGACAGACCGACTGACAGACAGCAGCAAAGCAATATGTCACACTCCCTTCTTCAAAGAGAGGCATAAAAATAAAACACATGTACTAGTAGGCAGATACCATAGCAATCTTTAACAATGTGCTTGAAATGAAAAAACTCTATTAATTTACCTTTGGCAGTGGGCAGCACCCATATTTTCCACTAGCTAGTTTACAACAGGTCTGGCCTGTCTTGCATTCCGATTGGCCATCAGGACATTCTTTGTTTGCTGTCAGTGGGATCAAGTGATGGGATTCTTGGGATTTTCCCTCCTTTATATGCACCATGTCCATGCTAATTATTCCCAAACTTTCTCCTTGTCCTATGCATTTCTTTTCCTGAAGGTCACATGTTGTTCCTTGTGGGCAGCAGTGAATATGATCGGAACAACAGACAGCCTGTAAATGGTTCAAACTTTTGTGCAATGTTTCTGTACATGTACATATGTAGACCTCAAAAGATCAACATCAACATAAGATTTAGCAAAGTAAAACTCTCTTCGAAAGAAGACGTTTATAAGAAACTTGCCCTTATTTTTTTAAGGGCTATTAAAGGGACCTTTAACACAAGAGGTCCATAGACCACAGTGCTCACCTTAGTCACTATGGTCCTGCTGTTTTTCACCAGCAGCTTTTTTTCAATATACTCCTGGGTAAAACTTTGATTTGTATTGTGACCCCACCCTATCTGCAGGGGCCATGATTTGAACAGACTTGAATTCTCACTATTTGAGGATGCTTCTCTATCAATATGACTAACCATGGCTTTACTGTTGTTGCAGGGGCTGACAAATAGATTTTTTATGCACTTATCCAAGGGCAAGTGGTGAAAATTCACTTGCCCTACCTTAATTTTTGATTGCCCAACCATAATTAATACTGTATTTATATAAATTTCAAAAAAATAGGAAGAAAAATACTGAGTAGATGCAATCCTCTGTGCCCAAAATTAAATCTATGACTTAAATATTTATTTTATTTTTTAAGTCACTTGCCCACGGGCAAGTGGTTGATAAAATTTCACTTGCCCTCTCCTAAAATTCACTAGCCCCGTGCGTCGGGCAATGGGATTTGTCAGCCCCTGGTTGTTGAGAAGATTTTTAATGATTTTCCCCCCAAATATATTCCTATGTAAAACTTTGATCACCAATTGTGGTCCCATCCTACCCTTGGGGGCCATGATTTGAACAAACTTGAATCTGCACTATCTGAATATGCTTCACATAAATTGACTTATCAGGACTATGCTATTCTTGAGAAGAAGAATTTTTAAGGATTATTTCTTATATATTCCTTTGCAAAACTTTAATCACCTATTGTCCAAACCTTACCCCCTGGGATCATTTTTGTGAACAAATTTAAATCTGCACTATTTAATGAAGCTTTCACACAAGTTTCATCTTTTCTGGACCAGTGGCTCTAAGAAGAAAATTTCTGAAAGATGCAATTAAATTTTCACTTATTCTAAATTATCTCCCCTTGAAAGAGGGTATGGCCAGTCCTTCACATAAACAAACTTGAATCCCTTTCACCCAATGATGCTTATTGGTAAGTTCAGTTGAGAGACAGATGGACAGCTAGACATTTCGATAAGAAAAGCTTTTGGCTCAGGTGAGCTAAAAATGCTAACACAAGCTAACTCTGAAACCATAAATTTTGCATCTAAAAGTAATTGTGGCAGTCCCATTCAATACATTTTGAAGTCTAGTTGTACAATCCGTTCATATCTAAGCAAACTAGTAGAGTATATTCTTGAAAAAATACAGACCAAAACAGTTCAATGACACTGTGGCCAAATTTGACAGGTATGAGGTCTTTGTGCATGTTGTGTGGGACATTTCAAAAGTTATATTTGAAGTATAAATTATGGACAAACATACAGAAAAACATCTTAAGAATAACAGTAGACAGACTGAAAATAAATAACCCCATCCCTCCCTAACATTAAGCATGTTTATATTAACCTCATTATCAGAAACAAGTTCTGTTTGTGAAACACTGATGCCCCCATGTGGCAGCTAGCTCATGGCCAAAGTTAGAGTTTTTCAAAAGTAAGTCAATCTCCAAGATGAAGGTCATGAGGTCAAAAATGTTAGTACCAAAAGAAAGGTCTTGTCACAAGGAATGCACAAGTGAAATTTGAAAACCCATCACCACTGTTCAAGTGCTATAGCCAAGATTAAAATTTTCAAAAGTAGGGCAAACTCCATAGTCAAGGACACGAGGTCAAAAATGTTGGTATCAACAAAAAGGTTTTGTCACAAGGAATATACATGTGAAATATGATAATGGAACTCTTATCATCCTTCATTCAAAAGTTATAGTGGAGATTAAATTTTTGGGGACAAACAGATAACAGACAGACCAACACTATATGCCCCCTAATTTCCTATTATGGAGGCATAAAAAGTAGTAAGATCTTCCAACTTAGACATATCCATGGTATTTCAGATATCAGTCTTCAAGACAACAAAGTTCAACTTAATACATATTGCAGATTTGAAATACATACATCCTGGATTGGGCAACATCCATATTTCCCACTGGCCAACAGACAACATGTCTGACCATCCTTACATTCGGAGGCTCCATCAGGACACATGACAGAGGATGTTTCTCCCTGGGGATATCTGGCGGCTGGAACCTTCTCAATCCAATGAAGTTCCAGACTATCACCTCTGATACACTTCCCAGAGGAGACTTGACACTGAGTGTTCTGTGGACAGCAATGCTTCCCATCACTACAGCACACAGCCTGAAAAAGAAAACACGTAGAGTACACCACACAGTAAACATTTTTTCTTTTTTTAAATCAATGGAACTGATGACCTCAACTGGAATATCAAGTAACAGAAAAATGCTTAAAAGATTGTTTAATACTTCACAAAAAGAAAATAATTCTATCTTTATGGCTGCATGCATAATTTTTTTTTTTATATTCAGTGAGAAAAGTTGAAAATGAGAATGCAAAGCTTGATAAATAGACAGAAGCTCTTCTGGTTAACAACTAAAAGAGCTAACAATAGTGGCTTGTATTGTATATGGATTTCAAAATCAGAAATGCTCCAGTTATATTTAAATCTCCAATAAACATTTTCTTGGTTCTAATTATCTCTTCAACAAGAAGATAAGAACACAGAATATAGAGAAAATAATCATATACACTATTAATAGTAAGGAACATATATCATGTATAATGTTGTACCCCAAAACTTACATTTGGTATTGGACAACACCCATAACTTCCACTAGATAGTTTACAGCAAGTTTGTCCAGTCCTACATTCATGCTGACCATCAGGACAAACCACATTTTCAAACCTCAGCAGAGCAGGTTGTTTCTCAAACCAGTCCATGACTAAACTGGACCCTCTTTTACATTTTCCTGAGGACACCTCACAAGTTGTCCCCTCTGCACAGCAGTGTTTCCCATCACTACAGCACACAGCCTGAAAAAAAACACATATATACAGTATATGAAATAATTATTTAGTTAGTTCTCATTAAAGAAATATGAATGCTTAATAAAAAATAAGGAAAAGGCCAAAGGGCCTCAAGGGTCACTGAGTTATTTATGATCATTTTTTTTTTTTGTTATTTTACATCCCTCTCAAGAATTTTTCACTCATATAGAGATGCCACCACTTGCCAGTGGAGAGCTGCAAATTTTGACCTATTGCACTCGGGGCCATTGAGCAGTGAGGGATTTTTTTTTCGTGTCAGTACCTACTGCGACAAGGGACCTTGGTTTATACAGTCTCATCTGAAGGACCAGACTCCATGTCCCACAGTGGGATTCAAAACCCAACATAAGGATCAACTCCATACTTCAGAACTCTAGAGCAAACACTCAAACGCTCCAACCACTGCGCCACGCGGGCGACTCACGATCATTGGTGAACAACCAAAGGAGAACTTCTCCCAAGGTAGAGTAAAAATTTCCCTTCATAATCAATGGAACCCTGTCCTAGCATCAAAATTCCTGACCCAGTGATACGGATTTCACTTATCTAATAAAACCACCCATGCTCATTAACAATGTACTTGGTTTGCCTGCTAGACGCCTATGGAACAGAGAAGAAGATTTTTAAAAAATAAATGCATCTTTTACTTTATGATCAGTAGATCCATGCAATAGCACAAGAAACCCTAAATACATGAGAACAGAAAATAAGAAATTCAATGAATTAATACATATGATAAAAATAAGCATGCACAAAGTTTGTATGCTCAATACAAAGGTACAGAGACGATGATTTTCAAAGAATGAATGCATTTTCACTAAATTCTCTACCGAGTCCCTCCCTACATGTAACACCAAAACCCCTGACACTGGGAGCATGAATTTCACAATTTTGGAAAAGCCAGCCTTTGCTCATCATGACGATGCATTTAGTTCGTCTACAAAGTCTACAGGGGAAAAGGAAAAGGTTTTTAAAGAATTTATGCATTTTCACTGTATGATTAATAGAGCTCCACCCTACCACTATCTCGAATCCTCAGAGATCTCGAAGATTTTTTCAGTCTCATTGAGTTCAAGATAATGAGGTTTGACTGTAGTTAGTTAATATTTGCACTCCCTTAATTTCACATCTTTGCTTTGTATTGTCAGATAGTTAAAAATGACAATTTCCTTTTTTTTAATCTCAGACTATATCAAATATGATTGTACACAGAGTACCCAGATGTGCATAATATTTTGTAGTATGTACACCATACAATTTAATTTCCTAAAAACTTACCTTAGGTAGAGGACAACATCCATACTGTCCACTGGACAATTTACAGCAAGTCTGTCCCGTCTCACATTCTGACTGACCATCAGGACAAACCACATTTTCTGACCTCAGTAGAGCAGGTTGTTTCTCAAACCAGTCCATGACTAAACTGGACCCTCTTTGACACTTTCCTGAGGAAACATCACATGTAGTCCCAGAAGGACAGCAGTGTTTACCATCGCTACAGCATACAGCCTGAAAAAATCATTTACAGCACTTCAAATTAATTTTTTTTCAGATTATGTACATTGAAAATAACCACTCTCCTTTATGTTACATCAGAAAATGCTTATTGGAAGAATGTCCCTTTGCTAAGGGAGATAAAAACTGCTCTTCAACAAAAACAGTCCTCTGCTATGGGAGATAAGAATTGCCTTCTGCTAAGAGATAAGAAGAGCCCTATGCTGTGGAAGATAAGAATTGCCCTCTGCTAAGAGATAAGAAGAGCACTCTGCTATGGAAGATTAAAAAAGCCCTCTGCTAAGGGAGATAAGGTCTGCCCTTTACTTGAGGAGATAAGAATGGTCCTCAGCTAAGGGAGATAAGATCTGCCCTTTACTAGGGGAGGTAAGAATGATCCTCAGCCATTGGAGGTAAGAACTCCCCTCTGCTATGGGAGATGAGAACTGCCTTCTGCTCAGGAAGTTAAGGATGACCTTCTTCTAGGGGAGACAAAAACTGACCCCTGTTAAGGGAGATAAGAAACACCCCCTGCTTAAGGAAGCGATTGCATGGCATCACGTGATCGACTCATGTGATGTTTAAAAAAAGAAGATTTACGGCAACCATTTTTGGAATAAGGAGAGTGATTATGATTACGCCCATGACAAAAGGTTTTCGTGGCAATATTTTTTAAATGGAGAAAGAATAAGATAGGCCCTAAAGATGTGATGTTGCAGAGTGTTGGTGAGCGTCGACGCAGATTTTTTTTATCCATGTGTTTTTTTTTGTTTTTTTTTTCGTTTTGACACGTCTAGCCTTTGTCGTAGTTCTGAACGCTGTAATCTGTTTCATAAATAAATTTAATTCATACTTGGATCTTTACATCCTCTAGTTTTAATTAAAATACTAGAATTTTATTTGAGATCGTTTTTTTTTTTTTTATTATTATAGGGTTTACATCTATGAATAGACAATCATTTCCTAAAAGCTTCAGACAGCGTGATTTTCTCAGTGATTAAAATGAAAATAGGCCTATATGGAAGCATAAACGAATGCGATTTTCATATATACGTGTATAGACCAGTTTCAGGTTGCATGCTGGACATGAACGTATTTTAAAAAAATATCGCAAAGGAAATTGTTTTCCTCTGTAAGATCTTCTCTAGCATTTTCAATGCTTACATCGACCATGTACATTGTAAACATTGAATCATCGGCACATATATTGCGTAAACATTTGTTGTAGTAAATTGTTTTATGCGTCGTATTTGGTAAAAGAATTGAAACTCAACACACTTCTTAAAAGAAAAGAAAGGTTTCTTTTTGCAAGTTTTCACAAATCTATCAATAAATACGCATGTAAGAAGGTTAACTCTGACAATCGAGGAACTACAGAGGTACCAGGCATATCTGAGAAAGAAAATTATTTTGAGCATAACGTTATATAAATTTAAAAAAAATTTCAACTCATCAGCTCAAGGGAATATATTTGAAAAATTAATTTAATTTTTGAAAATTCACGAGGACATGAACAAAGACGCTTCACCTCAGCATATTTCATGAACCGCGTGATCATGAAGCGCAAATTTATAAAAGTCATTCAACCATTATTTTGGAAACAAAACAGTTTGCACTAGGCCTATAGTTTTGACGTCAAGTGTGGCATTATGACGTCACAATGGAGATATGTAGGCTTACCTAGTTCATGAGAAAATGAACTGTTTTCTAACTTGCAATGAATGTGTAGGAAAAATATTTGCAAATGTAAATATTACACAGCAAATCAATAAAATTTGTCAAATAAGATAATATTTATTTTATATACGGTATATATTGCAGATACAAGTTCTCTGAAATAATCTACTAATTCAATGTGTTCAAGTGACTAACCCCCCCCCCCCCCCCCCTTCCGATTCCAAGTCACAGTGCAGAGACCTCGATGAGTGTTCAGAGCATGAACAATTTGGCCCTTGGACCACTGTGCACTGGTTTAGAATGTATATATTTATATTGAAATAATAACGGAATGAATATTGTGGAGATGGAAAAATAAAAAAAAAAATTGCATACTGTTGTTTTTTGTGTACATGATACTTATATCATTCTGCTATCATTCTGCTCTACGTATAAAATGAGCAACCACCACAAGATTTTCAGAAAAAATAATATTTTATTAATCTGTACGTATTGATTTTTTTTTAATAGTCTTTTAACAGATTATGCACTTTAAAGGTTCAGCAACAAACCATCAGATTAAAATTTATGAAGACTTTTAATATTTTAGGAAGGGGGGGGGGGTATTGAAATGCATGTAGCTTAAAAAAGAATGTGATGACCCCACTTCATATTTTAACCATAAGTCACTTATAATAATTGTTACAAAATATATCAATTTTAGGAAAATTCATTGGGCAATTTTTTGTCAAGACATTGAAAACTGCTCCTGGGGTGAAAATATAACTGCAAATTTACAATGACTACTCCCCAAAGCAACTGTGGCATTACTATATCTATCAATAGTTTCCGATATAATTTTTATTTTCAATGAATATAAAGCATATTATTTAATATCTGGTGAAAATTATTTAATTTGTTTCAATTTTGATATCTGTATGGCATACTTAAAATTTCACTACATAAATATCAAAATATTGAAAAACGGTGGTTACCATGGCAACCATATCTTCTTTATAACCCTGATGACCATGGTTGACATTTTCATATTATGATACCATTAACGTAAGGCAAATTATATGTAAAAATGAGAAAAATTCATCGAGCGGATTTTTTTCATGGACCCTTGCAATCTCTTCCTTAAGGACATAAATATGACACTGATTTATTACTTTATATTCGTCTATCAAATGTTCAACTGTCTCAAATAATCATCTTATATATAGTTATTAATTTGATTAAAAAAATCACCTTTCTCTCTATTTCAGCAGGAAAATATTCATTACAATTACAGGAAAAAATAGCATTACAGGTGACCAAATGAGGTTCATTTTGCCAGAGAACAATTTAATCTTCAAAACAATGACAATTTTTAACTTTTAATCCCATTCAGTATGCATAGATATTTTCACAGAGTTTTCAAGACTGTATATCAAAATAGCTATTCCCATAAACTTACATTTGGTACAGGACAACACCCATAACTTCCACTGGACAGTTTACAGCAAGTTTGATCAGTCTTACACTCATGTTGACCATCAGGACAAACCACATTTTCTGACCTCAATAGAGCAGGTTGTTTCTCAAACCAGTCCGTGAGTAAACTGGATCCTCTTTTACATTTTCCTGAGGACACCTCACATGTAGTCCCAGAAGGACAACAGTGTTTCCCATCACTACAGCAAACAGCCTGAAAAAATTTACAGCATTTCAAATTAATTTTTCAGATTATGTACATTGAAAAATAACCACTCTCATTTATGTTAAGAGCCCTCTGCTATGGGACACTAAAAAAAGCCCTCTGCTAAGGGATATAAGATCTGCCCTTTACTAGGGGAGGTAAGAACAGTCCTCAGCTATGGGAGATAATATCTGCTTTGTACTAGGGGAGATAAGAATGATCCTCGGCCATTAAGAACTACTCTCTGCTATGGGAGATGAGAACAGCCCTGTGCTTAGGAGCTTAGCCCTCTTCTAGGGGAGACAATAACTGACCCCTGTTAAGGGAGATAAGAAACACCCCCTGCTTCAGAACATAAGTCTGATATAGATTTATCACTATATATACAGTCACACCTTGTTATCTTGAACTCAATGGGACTAAGATTGATTGATTGATTGTATGTTGTTTTACGTCCCATTTGAGTATTTTTCACTCATATAGAGACGTCACCATACAGTACCAACCAGACCCAACCTGACACCAAAGCAGTCCCAGAAAGCACTCCCCGGGATTGCTTTGGGACCGCTGTGGGACTGCTCTGGGACTGCTGTGGGACTGCTCTAGAAAGCAGACCCAGCAGTCCCTGGGACTGCTTTCTGGGACTGCTTTGTTCACTTATGCGTGAAAAAGGTTCTGAGTGACTTGATAGCTCCACCCCTTGTGTATTCTGAATTTGCAGCTCCCTGTTGTTGTTTTGTTTTCTTTCTGCAGAGAGGTGTTTAAGATAATTTTAAAAAAAAAAATTTAAAAAAAAACAAGTATTTCTTACAAAAATTAAATAAATAGAGATAGTTATACATTTAATTACTAAATGTCTTCAGGGGGCTGTAAATTTACACAATTGTAGTCAAAAATTAATTTTAAGGAAATAAAAGTAGTTAAAGAGGGAAGTCAGGGGATGATTTATCCCTTAAATTAAACTTCAATACAGGTGTTTGAAAAAAAAATTATCTAGGCCTATTTAATAAATTAATGCTGTCAAATTAATATGTACTAAAGTTTGCATTAGCACTTATATTTAAAAACAAACAAACAAAAACAAACAAACTTGTCATTTCAGTAAGATACATGTATTCAGAGGAACGTACTGTACTGGATTTTTTTTTTAATTGAAAAAGCTAATTCCATGATTAAAAAAGAGCATTCCATACTATTTTTTACCACCCTCAAAAAAAACCTAATAATTTATTAAATGACCATGAAATAACATTATTCTACCATTCTTCTGTCACATAAACAATGTGAACAATTATTCGGGGATTTATTTAGGAATTAGTTTTTAATTTATAAACAAGTTATTAAAAAAATAAACATTTGAAAATATTGGGAATTGTGACTTGTTTCTTATTTGTTTTGTTTGTGTTTACCTGGCCGATTAACACAGTTGTATAAAATGGTGTCTACACCTGAGGTTTCAATCGCCTTTTGGCATAATTAGCAGAAAGTCAATGCATGTTATTTGGGTATCAGTGTTACACATCACTGAACACGCTGGTCAACATTGACACTAATTTCAATCTATGTACTGCAAAAAAATCTTTGTTTCAATAATTGTGTATAAATTTATTTCGGGATTATTTATTTTGGACATAATCTGAGGGTTCCATTTGCATGATTTACAGATGTATATAATAAAGCACTTAAAACTGAGAATCTAAAGATAATCAAATTGGCAAATCATTGAAAATAATCATGACTGAAATATAATACTCGGCAATGTTTAACAAAGAATTTTTCAAAAGCTCCAATACTTAAGAAAAATGCATTCAGAGTATAATATGGGAATCGGGCTTGCTCTATAATTATTATATCTATTTAAAGCTAATTCCTGTAGAAAATAAACAATTCAAGTTTAATTTTCTATATAAAAAAAAATAAATATGAAAACCAATATCAATCAAAATAAAGAAATTGGTTTATTTTGGTTAAAAATTAATATACCAAATAATTGGGTTTAAATATTCATGTTATTAATAGGTGTGAACGACTTCTTCATTCAATAATTATTATTTGTTTCTATACGCGTACTGTGATTTTCTTAACAGTTCAGAAATGACTGTCGCGTAAGAATTGTGAATATTTATTGATACTACTCAGAAAGAAATGCTCGTCAATTTCAACTGCCTTTTATATAGTTACATTGCTTATTGGTAATCCCATTCTGAGTAAGCTCTGCCCATTAAATTAATTAACCCCGCCCACTGGGACTGCTTTCTGGGACCGCTGGGACCGCTGTGGGACTGCTCTGGGACCGCTATGGGACTGCTTTAGCAGTCCCAGAAAGCAGTCCCTGGGACTGCTTTGTGTCAGGTTGGGTCTGGTTGGTACTGTATACCGGTGAAGGGCTTCAAATTTTGACCTTTACTCGGCACTCTGGGCCATTGAGCAGTGAGGGATCTTTATATATGCATGTACATGTACATTGTAGTCATGTATCAAAGTGTTTTCAGTGAATAATAGGAACATAGCAAAATAACAACACTTTCATTTGCAGGTTTTTTTCTCTTTTGCAAATTTTGTAGGGATGGCATTTGAATACAAAACTGCAAATGTGCATAAAAAAAATTCCTCAATACATGGTCATTTTCCTTTTAATCTGTGACTTTGTTTCAGAATGTGTACATAACGTTTCAAGATTTTATGTACAGTGTGAATTTTAAATACCTTTGGAAGTGGACAACACCCATAACCTCCACTGGACAGTTTACAGCAAGTTTGTCCATCTTTACACTCATGCTGACCATCAGGACAGACCACGTTTTCTGATCTTCTCAGAGCAGGTTGTTTTTCCATCCAGTCCATTATCAACTGGTTCCCTCTCTTACATTTTCCTGTACCAGTATCACAAGTAGTCGCCTCTGGACAACAATGTTTACCATCACTACAGCAGACTGCCTGAAATAACCAAGATGACATCCATCCTTTTTAGGTAAAAATGCAAATATTCATGCTCTGTTCATATTACATATCAATGGTGCACATATACGGTAACCGTATAAGTGGTATTTTTAGCCAGTTCCAAATTTAGCGATTTGTCCTTAAAAATCTGTATTTAATTTTAGCTAAAAGTAATTTTAGCAATTTTATGGTGCATAGAAAGATGACGGTAACCTTTAATGCTGAATAAATTGTTAGTAATATTTATTTTTAGCAATCTCAACACCCTAGCTGAAAAATGTCAAAATTGAATCCTCGCTAAAATTTCTGCTTATAAGGTAAATGCTTTGAAGTCTAAAGAGATGCTTTCATCAATATACATTGTAAGTAGCAAGATTATTATGTAAATGATTTTAAGTTAATTTAAAACATTTACCTTTGGCAAGGGACAACATCCCCATTGTCCACTGGACAGTTTACAGCAGGTCTGCCCAGTCTTACACTCATGCTGTCCATCAGGACATTTTACGCTTTCTGACCTCAGTAGAGCAGGTTCTTTCTCAAACCAGTCCGTGACTAAACTGGACCCTCTTTGACACTTTCCTGAGGAAACGTCACACGTAGTCCCAGAAGGACAACAGTGTTTACCATCGCTACAGCATACAGCCTGAAAAAATACATTTCAAACATGCTGAAAGTCACATGTAAAAAAAAATCACTGAGTCAGTAAAGAGTAAAAAATGAAAACTTATGGTCATTGATCAGTAGAGCTAAAAACTCACATTTGGTATTGGACAACATCCCCACTGTCCACTGGACAGTTTACAGCATGTCTGTCCAGACTTACACTCGTGCTGTCCATCAGGACAAACCACATTTTCTGACCTCAGCAGAGCAGGTTGTTTCTCAATCCAGTCCGTGACTACACTGGACCCTCTTTTACATTTCCCTGAGGACACCTCACATGTAGTCCCAGAGGGACAGCAGTGTCTACCATCACTACAGCATACAGCCTGAAAATACATTGCAAACATGTTTTGTAATTCATTTACTGATCACGTGTCATACAGAAATGTTGTCTCTGATTAAATAAAGATTAGAAAATGAAAACTTACCTTTGGTATTGGACAGCATCCCCATTGCCCACTGGACAGCTTACAGCAAGTTTGTCCATCTTTACATTCGTGCTGACCATCAGGACAAACTACGCTTTCCAACTTCAGTGAAACTTTCTACAGAAAAAAAAATGAAATTGCTTTTAATGAATTTTGATTTCCGAGTATAATACACCATAAATCTACCATATACATGTACCTGTGAACACGATGTACTAATAAACCTTTTTTAGTGAATTACCAAAACACAGACATAGTATTTACATGCAAACACAATCATTTCCCAAGTCAGTACGAGTCAGAAGTATATGTGTACAGTGGGGTCTTATTAATCTGGACGCTTATGCTCCCAAGCAAATCATCCGGATTAATGAAGCTTCTTGAATACCAAAATGGAACTTTTACACAGTAAAACTCAGTTATAAGGAATTTTCTTATAGGGAAATTTTTTTTCTGAGGAACTTTTTACGAATCCTGTAAAAGATTCTGAAAGACCTTAATTAATTAGAAGCTGATCATGCTAAAACAGGTCTTCATATGCAATTCACTGTTCAGTTTTTATCTTTTAAAACAGGATTGGAAATACCTGGTTTTTTGATGAGAAATGAGGAAGCTTTAATATTTAAAACATATGCTCTTGTCCTGGAGTACGTGTACTTATCGGTTTTATTGTTTCCTTAAGTGCCCGGTATCACAAATTACATACAACGTGTACAAAATAGAAAAGATATATAGAGATACACATGTACATGTATCTCAGTGAGGAAAATATGTTTTCTACAAACTGTTTTTCTTATTATCAATCGTAAACTGTAAATGTATAAGACTTAGCAGTGTAACTTAAAACGGGGCAAAATTGTTTGCAAGTGTGAAAGGATGAAATTAACATGGGGCAAAAATAACCCTGTATACAGTATATATATATAAGAAAATGCATTAAATATTATAACTAGAACTTGTTTTAATTCACTTGATAATACTTTATGGCTAAAAAAATCATATTTCATATTTTAAGGTGGATCTGCTTGGAAAATTGTTAACCACCCGGCTTCCTTCAGGATGAGCTTAGAGTATCTTTCCATTACGAAGATCTGGTATGGACATAATTGTATAGAAAGAGAAATGAACACTCAGGATGATTCCCAAATACAGCTTTGTTTTAAAGGGGGAAGGCAGGGGCTGACAAATAGATTTTTTTAGGCACTTGTCCAAGGGCAAGTGTGTGGTGAAAATTCACTTCCCTACCTGAATTTTTGCTTACCCAATCATAAACTAATACTGTATTTATATATTTAAAACTAGAAATATGTCCATAGGACATGAATGCCCCGCCGAGGGTATATTAGTAATGCAACATTTTAACACAAATTGAGAAAAGTGAGGTCAAGGTCAAAGGAAAGGTCAAGGTGAAAAAATATTGATGCAGTTGAATAGCTTACATTAGTATGTATCAGCATATGAAGTTTGACACAAATTTAAGAAAAGTGAGGTCAAGGTCAAATGAAAGGTCAAGATCAAATAAAATTGTTTATGCAGTTGAAAGGTTACATCGGTATGTATTAGCATATGAAGTTTGATAAAAATATTATGAATGGTTTTAAAACTAACCTAAACCCTAATTAAAGAAAAGTGAGGTCAAGGTCAAAGGAAAGGTCAAAGTCAAAAAATATTGATGCAGTTGAATAGCTCTCATCAGTATGTATCAGCATATAAAGTTTGACACTAATTTAAGAAAAGTGAGGTCAAGGTCAAAGGAAAGGTCAAGGTCAAAAAATGTTGATGCAGTTGAGTAGCTCTCATCAGTATGTATCAGCATATGAAGTTTGATAACACTATCTTGAATGGTATCTTTAAAACTGAGCAAAACTTATTTAAGAAAAGTGAGGTCAAGGTCAAAGGAAAGGTCAAAGTCAAAAAATATTGATGCAGTTGAATAACTTACATCAGTATGTATCAACATATGAAGTTTGATTACACTATCTTGAATGGTATCTTTAAAACTGAGCTAAACACTAATTTTAGAAAAGTGAGGTCAAGGTCAAAAGAAAGGTCAAGGTCAAAAAATGTTGATGCAGTTGAATAGATCTCATCAGTATGTATCAGCATATGAAGTTTGATAACACTATCTTGAATGGTATCTTTAAAACTGAGCTAAACACTAATTTAAGAAAAGTGAGGTCAAGGTCAAAGGAAAGGTCAAGGTCAAAAAATGTTGATGCAGTTGCATAGCTCTCATCAATATCTATCAGCATATGAAGTTTGATAAAAAATATCTTGGATAGTTTCTTTGAAACTGAGCTTTGAACAGAGCTAAACGCATAGTGTGACGGAAGGACTGACGGAAGGACAGAAGGACGGAAGACGGACATGACAAACACTATATGCCCCAGCCATATTCATGGCGGGGCATAAAAAAATAGGAAGAAAAATACTGAGTAGAACATGCAATCCCCTGTGCACAAAATTAAATCTATGACTTAAATATTTATATTATTTTTTTTTAAGTTACTTGCCCACAGGCAAGTGGTTGATAAAATTTCACTTGCCCTCTCCTAAAATCCACTAGCCCCAGGCGTCGGGCAATGGAATTTGTCAGCCCCTGGGGAAGGGGGAGGAAGGGGTTGGGGTAAACACATACAAAATATTATGTTAGCTATAATGAAACACTACGAACAGAAAATTCCCTGGATTACGTTTCAATTAAAAAAAAGTGGCACTTTTATTCCAATTTGACAATTAAGAAATCAGTTTAATTCTATCTGATCAAAATTATATCCTTACTGCAAGTGACTTAAAATTGATTTATAAGCAATGTAAACATCAGAATCTTATGACCTCCACCTTCTCCCTGACCTGTCTGTAGGTAGAGGATTGGACCAGACCCCCTTTGTGACACTGGGACGTGGTTATATTACAGGTATATCCCATCGGGCAACAGTGGACTTTATCGGTGCAGCATACAGCCTAACAAACATCACAAAATGGAAAATTTCAATATGGATGCAAATCTGACGTTGGAAGAATAAGAAGTCGATTTTTTCAATCATTTTATTTTTAACCCTAAACTTCAATGAACAGGTTTGTGAATTACAGGTATAAAATTAAAGAAACCTAAAAATGTTGATCTATACATCATAAAGTAGAAAGGAAATTTTTAGCGAACACAACATACTAATTTATCTAAATTGTTTGAGATATATACAAAATCTTCCTTCACTCTTATCATTTTCAATGATAAAAATGCTGACATCACAGGAAAAAGAATCTATTTGTAACTTGTCTGACCTTGTTGTGTATGACGTGTAAATTTAAAATTTTACCAATGCATTCATCATCATAAGATGTCTGTTCTCAAAAACTTCCTGTTCAACATGTTCAGGGAGTCATAAAACTTAATTAATGCATTCAATTTGTACGATTGCAAAATTCCCGAACTGTTATGGAATTCCCTAGCATTATTTTAGAAAGGAAATTATGTACAATGACCTCAAGCATTTCATTTAAAAAAATAAGTGACATTTAGTTAGTTAATTGTTATCAAGAGTTTTGTCAGCTCTTCAAAACAATATAATGATGGTGACTCCTGCTATAGAAAATATACCTATAGCATGTACATGTAAAAAGTAAAGAACTAGGTTCACTTTATGCATAAAATAGCCCTGTCCTTATACCAACTATAATTTGTCTATCACCATATATATTCCATTTTAAACATCAATATATTAAAAGTATAGAGACTTAGTACATGTACTTTCATTTCCTAAAAAAAAAGGCCCTATGAATCTTGTTCTTTCCTATTTTTCACACCCTTCATCATTTCCTTATTTCCTCAAGCATTATATGATCTGATACTGGTGTACCCACTAGCGAATTTAAAGGGGACCAGGGTGCTTAACCATGACTGAATACTAAGTACAGATGAATATTAAATAAATGTTTTAAGCATACCTAAATTAACTCACAAAACTGATCTAAAAAATTAAAAAAAAGACCTAAAACTAGATATAACTTCTAGGGGCTTTGCCCCTGGGCCCCCACCTTTGATTTCCCTATGACTCAATAGGGGCCTTGAAATGGCCCCCAGACCCCCCACCCCACCCCATTGAGCCCCCCTTCTAAGGAATATCGGATTCACCACTGGGTGTACTAATACAAAGAAGGTTAAAATTTACAGAAAAATAGCCAATCTTCCCATTTCACCTGTTCTATTCCTTCAATGAACACAATTCTTTTGACAAAGATTAGTTTGCAATATATTACAGTGGTCTGTGATAATCTCTGACCACTGACAATTTAAAATTTCTTATATGTACATGTAATTTACAATTAACTCCAGGATTTAATATCTTCATCTGTCAGTTATTCTTACATTAGCCAGAGGACAGCATCCATATTCTCCAGATTCCTGGACACAGCAGGTGCTTCCATCTGGACAGAAGGATTTCCCATCCTGACACTGAACCCCTGGAACAGCTGGGTTCTCCTTGGGATGGAAATAAAGTGTATCACAGTTAACAGCTACCACAACCAATGGTAGAAGTAGAAAGCCTTGCATCTACAAATGTATATAGATAAGAATATGAAGTACATGGGATAATTTTTGAAGGTATGCAATAATGTCAGCTTGTCATGACTTGTAATTAGTCTTGACAAAAAGTTTCTGTGATTTTATCACTATAAAGACCCTTTCTTCATCATGTTCATGCCTAGCTCATTAATTTGGAATCAATACCCTCTAATGTTTTGTTTTGAACATATTTTATTAAGTACATCAAAAGGATTGGAAACAAGTTCTTTACAACTTACAAAGTTCCTCTCCTTATATATAACAATTTGTCATGCAAAATAGAAGAAAAATAATACAATTAATACAAGTGAAAAAGCAATTAAAGAGCATATCAACTAGAGAATCTACATGTTTCGTCAATAAATTTATGAACAGCAGCAAAAATACTGTTATTTATCTGTAAAGGCAAATTAACGTCTCCACATAATAATAGATTTATATCAATAGTAACCAATTCAAGAGTGAACAAGCGATTAAAAAGAGTACTTCTTGCATTAGAATAATTTTTGCATGCAAAAAAGAAATGGTACACATCTTCGTTTTTTCCACATAAACATACGGGACTATTTATGTTTCGTTTATAAAGATCATAATTTAGTATACAGGAATGTCTTAGCTTAGTATGAATGATATTGGTGTATCGCTTACCAAAAGAGAAGTATGATGGTGGATTTTTAATTTTTGTTATCAAGTTTTTTCGGAATGTTTTGATTGAGATGGCTTCTCTAACCTCTGTTTTTAGTAAATTCCATTGTTTTGCAGCATCAGGTACAAAAGAATTTCTAAATAATTCTAATCTACACCTTGGAACAATATAATCTTGTTTATTACGGGTATTGTATAGGGATACATGCTCACGCTTATAGGGGACAATATATCATGCAAATACTCAGGTACTCTTCCCGTGTGAATTTTGAACATAGTTGTCATTTTTGCAATATATCGCCTGGTTTTTAAAGTTTCCCAACCAGTTTCAGAATATAGTGCTTCTCTAGACACAAAAATCGGAAGTCCTGTTACAATTCTAGCGGCAGTTAATTGTACTTTTTCAAGCTTTTCAGAATCTTGTTTAGAGCAGCCATCCCAAACAACTGAAGCATATTCAAGCATAGGTCTGATAAACAAAATATACAATTTTGATAAGTTTTTTTCTGCCCATTTTGAACTTCAATTTCTTTAAGAGGCCTAGTTTTTTATAAGCACTGTGTACAACACCATCAATATATTCTGACCAACTAAGATTTTGTGACAATAGTAAACCCAAATGGCGATGGACTGGAACACACTTCAGTCTATCGCCTTTAAAAAATAGCTTAAGCATAACAGAAATGTTTTTCTTACTGAAATAAACGACCTTTGTTTTGGATGGATTGAATTTAAGAAGCCACTTGTTTGACCATAGTTCCAAATTATGTAAATCATGATTAATTTGTATTCCATATCTAATATATTATATGATGATTGTTGAAGGGAATTATCATCCGCAAACAATCTACACATTGAAATCATATTTTCAGCAACATCATTAATATAAATGAGAAATAATAGTGGTCCTAAAACAGAACCCTGAGGTACACCTGCAAAAATATCGTGTTTTGATGATAACAGATCCTTATACATAACTTTTTGTGACCTTTGACATAGATAACTGGAAAACCATTGGAGAAGATCACCTGATATACCATAAGTTTTTAATTTAAAAATGAGACCTTTGTGCCATACTCTATCAAAAGCCTTTGAAAGATCACAAAAAACCATACAACCATCATCTATGTTTTGAACTATACTATGATACGTTTCTAGTAATTGATATACAGTTGAATGAACATGCAGGAATCCTGCTTGGTATCGATAAAATAAATCATTAATATGAAAATAATTGTACACGTGTTTAAATATTATTATCTCCATAATTTTACTAACACAGGATAATAACGATACAGGTCTGTAATTGGAAACCACAGAGGGATCATCCTTTTTGAAAAGAGGAATAACGTGCTAATTTACAAAACGATGGAAAAACTTTTTCTGACAAGGACCTATTAAATAACACAGTAAGTGGTTTAACAACAGTAGAAAGAGTGGATTTTAACATTTTATGACTAATACAATCAGGATCAATAGCTTTGTTCACGGGAAGTATTGATATTACGTCTAATACTTCTTGTTCATCAATTTTAATATTGCATAGTGTGTCATTACACATATAGTACATTTGTGGCAGTGTTTCTTTAGAATCATCAATAGAGGAAATCGAAGAAAAATACGAATTTAATGCTTCAATCTTGTCTAAGTCGGAATAAGCTACTTGTCTTAAACCGTCATTAAATATTTGTATTGGTGGTATTTCATTAGATAATTTAATATTAAATGAATCTTTCATTAACTTCCAATATAACTTATTGTTATTTTTACTTGAGTCTTCCAAGTAGGTTTCTATATTATCATAATAATTTGAAATTGCGTGCTTTTTCATATTGTTAACTGAATTTCGGACTTTTCTATAAGCAGACCTATCAGAATCTTTTTTAGTTTTCTGTGCTTTATTATGAAGACGGTTTCTAATTCTTATTGTTTTACGTAAAATTGAATCAAACCATGGTTTGTCACGAGGGCGAATGGTTATAGTTTGTTCTTGTATGCATTCACGAACACAGGAAAGGAATTCCAGCGTAAAATTTTCAGCTGCAAGGTCTATAGTTTTAGCTTCGTTGATGTTTTTGATCCAATCACAATTTTCGATAAGAGAGTTTAATTTTTTGAAATCTGCATTTTTATAAGCCCACACTTTACGCTTGTACGAACGATTATAATTTATACTGGAAGAAACCGAGATATAAGTTGCTCTATGGTCACTAACGGAAGCGTCAATTGTTAGAGTGCCCGATTCACATACTTGAATGTCAACAGATGTTAGAATTAGGTCAAGGAGCGTGCTGGATGTGTGTGAGATTCTAGTCGGTTCATGGATATTGTTAACAAAATTATGTGTTGAAATAATTTCATGAATTATGTGTGTTTGTGGAGCATTAAGAAGATCAACATTCAAGTCACCTACTATTAATAATTTATCAGAAAGTTCGCCTACTTTGTCAATGCACCATGTGAGTTTTGTCCAAAAACTACTATCCGAGTTTGGAGGACGGTATATGCAACATAAAAAGTATTTACAGGTATTGTTATCTATTTCAATACATATACACTCAATGTCAAGGGGTTCAAATTCCTGGCGTCTAAAAGCATGTATTTGATTAGACAAATAAATCATAACACCGCCCCCAAAACAGTTTCTGTCTCTTCGCAATATTGTGCTAAAGCCGTCCAAATGCAAGTCCTCGTTAACAACTGTTTGGTCCAAATGAGTTTCGTTAAAACATAATATATCAAAGTCATGAACGAAAGAATTTAAATAGCCTAGTTTGTGTCTAATGCTACGGATATTAAGATGTAGTATGTCAAGGACACTTTCCATGAAAGGACCCGGATTGACCTCAATATCCCCGCATACCAACAAAATAAAAGTAAAAAATTGTAAATAAAAATTAATAAACACAGATTTTTGAATAATGATTGACATGCCGCAAACGAGTTGTTTGAGCATATTTCTGAATAAATGAAATACATGTATATACACACCTGGAAAAACCAAATATGAATATGTTTTATGTGTGCCTCTACTTGATAAATAAAACAGACCGATTGCAGCTCGGTATTGCTCGACTGAATTACCCATTATCAATCTTGTGATACATGTAGTTTTTAAGTAAATGGCTGCAATCAGTAGCTGCTAAAATTCTGACTAATTCATAAATGCAAATTACTGGGTTCTCAAATACGGTTGCATGACTTAGATTTTGACCATATATAATGAGATTATAAAAATACATACAAAAATAAATGAAATAAAAATAAATACCCTCTAATGAACATTTCCAATCAGTGTTTGGAAGCTTCGTGACAATCAGGTTAAGTTTTGTAACCTTTTTCACGGGGACTGCAAATTCATTAAAAATGATAATTTTTGTCACTTAAGATTATATTAAAATATCTATATATATATACAACTGTGTACATTTCTAGAGATCTTCAAAATTTGGCTTTTATGGGGACAAAAATGTGCTTTTACCATATATAGTCCTTTGAAACCAGACACAAACACTATTAATGTCTAGACATCAAGTAGTTAAGCATGTTAACCATCTAAAGGTCCATCACCCTTCTGTTCATTCAAGCAAAATTTTGATTTGATGATAAAAATTTTCCAAACAAAATCTTACAATTATGATAAAAAAAAATGTGAACTTGGATACCTTGCAGTGGTGCAAATTTTTTCATAATTAATTACCAAGAATTTTTTTTTTCAAAGGAATACTACATGAGAGTTATCTCCCTTATATTTAGGTCAATGAACGTTAAAAATCTCAGTCATACATGCATCTGACCTAATGCTACTTGTACCTTCACCTATAATTACTAAAATCCTGAATAAATACTACAGGTAAATACTCATCAGTATAGCTTTGGCCTTCAAAATCAGATAAGACCATACAATGTCAATTTTCATTTAATATAATCATTGATAACTTGATCACGAGAAAAAATCCCGTGGTATTATCAATTTGATTTGACCCAGTTCTATTTGTAATGTCAATATAAGTCATCGAATGACCCTGTATATCTAACACCTTTGATAAAATTATAAGAAAGTTATAAGTGTCTGTCCAAATACTAGGCTTTGTACTCAATAACAATCTAATGCATTAACTGTTAACAAGAAAACCCACCAGGTGTATACATGAGGAAGATCACTTAGTGCTCATCAGAAAGCAAATTAAGAATTTCTAATACCTACTTAAACATGTTAAAGCCTAAAAAGCTGAGTACAATTAGTAAAAGGAAAAGAATTTATCTGCCATATTTCTCTTCATTCAGCATTAGTTCTAGAGACCCTATATAAGCCGTTCACTTGGTCACGGTTCAATGTAATC